TTACATTTTCTCTTAAAAAATAGCCTGAAGACCTCTACACCGCTGGTGCAGAACCCATATTTTCACTTGTATCATTATACAAAAATTAATTTTTAAAGTTTATTAGTTGTAAAATGAAGGCATGCTTACAGAATTTGGATTTATTCCATCATCATTTAAAAAAAAATTCCCAAAATATTTTTTCTTCCTCTAAAGTGGCTTAACCCTTTAAATATTCATACACATTGCACGAAGGCCTGCAAGATACATGTCCGTTCAAAAAATGAAACTCAAACGATAATTACTGAAGTGTGATAACGATTATCACTTGAAGATCAATGTCTAGATGTAACACGTTTTAACAGCAACTTTTTCCTATTATTTTCCCCTTTCTGAAACGAGTATTACTCGTTATGGAACAGCTTATAAGCACCGCGAACGGTCGCGCTGTCGCGAGCAGACAAACGGTGAAGAGGAGGCTCGATGTAACGCTCGCAGAAAGCGATCCTCGTTTCCCAACTTCCCACGTGCCGACCCATTTATCCTCGACTGAATGGAGAATCGCTCGAACGAATTCTGCGTCGGATAGACGAGAGAAAGAGATGAGAGACAGCCGTGAAAGCGACCGCGGTATGATTAACGAACGCTTCGATGAACTAGAACTATAGGCGCCAACGAGATAGCTGCCTTCGAAAGTACCTTCCATATTGCTGCAAACCGCGGATTTCCGGTTTCCTCTTCGCTGACACTGTCGATGCTTTCTCACTGTGTCATTAGGACAGCGTACGGTATAGATGAGAATGTTCGCAGGCTGAACTCTCGAGGACCACTGCACGCGGCCCGAGGAGCGCCGGCATCGGGTGTGGTCCCCGATGCCGGCGGAGCTTGGCGCATGGGGGCCATAGGTCAGACCCTCCCCCGAGATAGGGGCGCCAATGCACCAGGGGCGGGAGGGTCCCGGGGCCCTCCTTATAGCCCCAGTGCAGGCCACCGTGGTGGTTTTAGTCAGGGTTGGGAAAGTTACTTTATAAAAGTATCTAGTTGCAGTTACAGTTTTTTCGCTAAAAGTGTAACTAGTTACAGTTACAAGTTACCAATTCTAAAAAGTAACTCGTTACAGTTACAATTGTTGAAGAAAAATAAGAAATAAAAATATGTCAGACCCCGGACCACTGATAAATTTATTTTCTTGCTACAATTATAATTCTATAAAGTTACGTATAATACTCAATAATACCCAATATTTTACTGAAAATTTTAATTAAAGCTTTTATTGCATTTTAACAGTATTTGGTATTCAATTATGTCAAGAAGGTGTCCTCTTTGTGGCGTTATGACGGAATCACCGACGCTAAACATCCGTTCAACAGATGCAACTGTAATCGTTTAACATACTGATATTGCAGTTGCTCGATTTTAAGAACCGATACAATTCTTCTTGTACGGAGTCAATTTCTTTGGTTTGCTTGTTAAAAGCAAAAAAGTCATCGTGGTCGTCGAGATTTTGTTCAAGAATTGGGGAACTCTCAGCAGAAAAGATTCCTAATAAATCTTCTAAATAGGGACATTTTTCGTTTTATTATGAAGATTGAAATATACTAACTATTAAAATAATTACTAATTACCAAAAATATGTAACTAAAGTTAAGTTACAGTTACAGGCGGAAAAAAAGAACGAAGTTAAGTTAGAGATACCGAAAATAAGTAACTGTAACTTCGTTAAAAATAACGAGTTACTTCACAACCCTGGTTTTAATGGGTAAAAATCCCACACTACCTCCGGGCCCTTCCCAGGGGGGCTGGAGGTGTCTTTCTGAAGATTTCCACCATGTAAAAAAAAAAAGGCTGAACTCTCGAATTGAAAAAAAAGAGAATCTTCGAAACTGGAGATTGTTTAATATTCTATCGAGGAAACGGGATTAAAAGTTCCCCTCGTTTTATGAAATTTGGAACGAATCGCGGCAGACGTTGATAAAAAAAAAGAGTCTCTCTTCGAAGAGTTGGCCCGTAGCCATTCCGTTTCTGGCACTTCGATGCAACCAGACGACAAAATTCGAAATCGCACCGCCCGGCCGGACGGGAAAATTCAGATATCGTTGGACTTCTCGATACGGGTTAAGCGCATCGATGGGTTAAGCCAATATCATCGATAACGGTGTGCTAATGAAAGGCTCTTAACCCATTTCGCGCGATAACTTCAATTTGAAAATTAATACCGGTCGAAGAGTTATGGAAAAAAAGAAATTTCCTCGACAGAGATATCGTTGCAATTTATAAAGGATAGATAGTGGGATCGTTTGTTTCCCAAACGTGGTGAGAAACTTTCAAAGTGGTTGCTGAGGGGACTAAATATAAAACATGGTGTTACGCACCGATGCAAGAGCGGGATGTGGCCTGCTAACGACTATGCAATGTAGATCGCGTTAACAATGTGTAATCGATGATAACCGTTCGACGGGACGCAAGATCTACTGGCGAAATATTCGCTAGGAATATTAATCGACTAGATCAGGGGTGGGCAATTAGTTTTGGCTCGGGGGCCACTTTGTGGAAGCGGAGGTTAGAGGAGGGCCGGACTTTTTAAAATGATTGCATTCATTAATTAACTTTGCATTTCAGAAAGGTATAAATTGTACCATAAAAATCAATAAAAATAAATTAAATAAAATAATGGCAGTTTTATTGGAAATCTAGGTTCAAGACGAATTTTTCTAACTGTCTTAGCGGGCCGCTATTTACCCACCCCTGGACTAGATCATCGCTTGTGAAATTTTATAAGGGGTGTAAACAACCCCCTAAAGTTGGAGGAATGAAAAACTTTCAGCGAAACAATAAATTAAATGATTCGTTATACAAGGAACTGCTCCTTCCCCTTTTTCTTTCTTTCCATAAAATCGATACGAATTACAGGTTGCGTAAAGCGTACTCGAATTAAAACTGAAAGCTCTCTTTTATGTGTAGATTTGTAGGTAGACCGATTGTCACGCCCAGAAGAAAAAGCGTAGAAAATAATTTTATATAACGTTCGTTGGTTCCTGAAACGTGAAATCATGTTTTGTGAACATAATTTGTGTGCATAATATCTATTGCGTTTGTAACGAGTCAATAAGCTCGATATTCAATAGGGAGGCTTTGGGACGTCGGTACGGAGTCGATAGGGAATCGAGTAATATTCTATGAAGTTCGTTCGATAAAGGAATTAATCAGTCGACTGCCAAAAATCGATAACCCGTACCTCGTTCGATACTGCTTTATTTAATTTGTTCCTATGGAACACCTCGAGTTTATCCTCAATTTTATTAACAATAAATGAAATTCGGTATTGATAGTGTATAAAAATTTCATTTGAATTCTCTATTCTTAATCGAGAGTATTCTACGAGTAATCGAAGGAACAACGCGATGCATCGTATCGATTGTTTCTTTTGCAACCTCGACCGATCGAATAACCTATCGTATGGTAACATCCTCTTTAAGAGGATGATACGTCATGAAATAGGAGCAACGCATTAACCTGAACTCCAAAATTATTTCCTCTAATTCTCGAATTCAACCTTTTCTAGCTAAAGAAGAACGATAACCCTCTTTGCACGATTTATCGTTCATGACAAATCTCGCGAAAATCTTAAAAATAGACAGCGATTGGAACCGATGATCCCTTTTCGATAAGGGTGTAATTGGACGATGACAGAGGAAAAGGTCAATCGTAATCTATAATGATGAGTTTATGGTTGAAAAATAGGTCTATTAGCCTAACATAATAGAAAGAATTATAGTCTCTATTCAATATCGATATCGTACCTGTTTCGCCTTCCGTCAGCTTTACCTGTCGCACGTGAGCCAGTTGAAATAAGCCCATAAGAAGAAACCGTACAACGCGATTTATACCGGTGTAAGCGAGAATACGGCGACATCGTCGTGGGAGTACAAGTGAAATCAAAGGAACGAGAACCTTGGTACGGTTCGTCGATCTCGTCCCTCGGAGAAAACGATAACTCCGATGCAACGGAAATAACGATGCACCGGGAACGATAGACACAATTGTTTCCAGCGATCAACGATCCGAGAAATCGAAATTGTTGCACGCCACAATATTCGTGATCGATCGGTGTAGCGAAATTCAACGGTGTGCAGCAGGTGCACTGGAAAGGTTTCAATCACGAAGACCGATGAAACACAACAATGTCTTGTCCGATTGTCCTGTCAATACACTTAAGCAATCGCGTATACCATAAGGGACATTGTTCGCTTTATATACGACGCGATGCAATCGATCAGAGTAATTTGAAATCTATTGCGAAGGAACCTCGTAAATTATACTTAGACTCGATTATCGAACGGATATTAGAAAATTTCATGTTCACTTACGGTAGACAGGAAGTTACGAGGACAGGGCGATCAGGCGCCTCGGTGAACGACACCAGGGGCACAGAGCAGGTGCGGTGTCGAATTGAATACGTAAAAGTAATAACGGTGTGCACTTTCGATGTTGTGTGTTGTGGCCAATGCCACTACGTGTAACAACCGCGTCGTCACGACCACTCTACGAAGCACGAGGGCAAAGTTAAGTTTTCTGTACGCAGGCACGCACGTAGCAAGCACAAATACTGGTAAAGGTTCCTTAAGAAACGAACGTGAACGCATACGCGGCTAACAACGGGTACACACCGCCGCGGGATCGTATACACACCACGTATCGTGGTAGCGACCGTGGAAATATGACAGCCATCCGACACGGTCTTACGCCAACTGGTGTTTACTACTGAAACGCTCCGTCGTCCCTCGAGCCAACGGCTCGGGACGAGGAACACACCGGGAACCAGCGAGACTCTTTCGGAGTGCAACAGTTGCTCGACCGGAGCGCCCCGCAATGTCAACTATTGATATTAACGCCAATGGCCGTACCCGTAAACACAGTCGATAAACATCTATTCAAATTATGTATCGTTCGAAATTGACTGAACCGAAATAAAACCAATATTTTCTTTTATAACTCCTATTTAACGAAATGTGCAAAAAGGATTATCGATACAACTAGCTTCTTTTTTTTTTATAAATACTGAGCATTACATTACATATGCTATTACAATACATTGTCGAATATTATCATATATGTAGAACTTTTCACCATTTACTTAAGATTAAATTCAATTGATTTTTGGACAGTCGATCTGTATTGCTAGAATGATTAGTTTTAGAATTACGAGGTTTCAAAACGTGAGCGTGATAAGTTTCTATTAAACATACTTCCTCGTAAAGATCTTCCGTCGACATCTCTACGATAAGCGCGCATTCGTTTAGCAGCCAACGAAATGTTCTTGGCAGTGCTCTTTCAAACACTGCAAAATTCTTTGGTTTTACACGACTGAATATGCAATGATACATCCAGTATTCCGTAAAAGGTCTAAAAAATCGATGTCTTTCTTCAGTTATATATTTTATCTCTTTTGTGACCGATGTTGAAACATTAAGTTCGCAAGAATCATTCCTACTCTTATGAGTATTTTCAACTTTTACAGCGACGTCACTATCTAAATTAAGATTATTTGATACTTCATTTTTTGTGCCTTGTACAGACACGCTGGTGCCTTTTATAAACTGGCCTTTAGTATTTCGTGCCATTTTATGTTTTTGTTTCCTAAAATGTATCTTCTCTGTCGCATCTAATTTACTAATAGATCCCTTTTCCGCGAGCGACAAGCATAAATTATATTTATCACAAAAAGTATTTTTCAATTGTATATTTTCTGATTTAATGTTACTAATAACATTTGTGTCTTCTTCCTCGTTTTCATCTTCAGTATCGCTATGAACAGGAATTGCTAATTTTCCATTTGGTAAGGTTTTACCAAATGTAAAATCACTTTCTACATCAACATTTTTTAAATTCTTCATTGTATTTACAGCACTATCGTAATACCGTTGTTTAGTGGTATCAAATTTCACTCTACATGGCAATTTAGCATGTAAATAATCGTTCAGGCTTTCACTTGCGTTTACGGATCGAACTTTTGAATCATCTTCCACGTCTACGAGTTCCTGTAGTTCTTTCATACTTGGCATTTTAGGCTGTTCAAATGGAGGTACATATTTTTCCAGAAAATGTAAGCTCGAATCAATTATTTCTAATTCAATATCGCACTGGGCTGCCAAGTCCATGAGCCTAGAAATAAAATGTTTTAATTAATGTATCTAATTTATATACCCAAGATCCATTTATAATTAAATGAATGATAACTAACAAATTAGGCTTTGTCATGTATCCAACTTTTGTAAGGAAGAAGTCATTTCGTGCTATAGCAGGAATATCATAAAGTGGATGATCCAATAACTGCTGAAGGTACGAATGAAGTGGTGTTAAAGACGGTGGGAATATCTCTGCTGCCTTGGGCGGTAAATCGTTAATACTCAAATTACTTATGTGTTTTGTCATGGCACTAATAAGTTCTTCAGGTAGAAAATGTTTCGAATTTTTTATATCTGGTTCTTTTTTATTCGTTTTAGAGGACATATGTTCTAAAAACTTGATGTATAAATCGTTAATCCCAGCTGTTTCCAGATTATACTTTAGTTTGGTTGGAAAATGTGTATGCGTTAAAATCGTTTTCCTACATTCGATGTATCTTTGCCACTCGTTAAAACTAAACAGTTTCCCATTGACCAAATCTTGATCAGAAACAACGCTGAAATAAAAAATCATTTATTTAGAAGGGTGTTTAAAGAAAGATAATTGGTATAATGGATGAAGATATATCATTATATGTACAACTACAAATGGACATTTGCATTCACAGTCTTTCGCGTTAGAACTGCTATATATTTCTTTTTTCTCTTCGTATAATCTTGCCCCGTACGTAATTGAATCATTAACAATAACAGCGTACGGCATTTTTTCAGATGTGAAATGTGCTGACCAACTTCCGTTTGACTGAAGCGTAATTCCACCACCGGTTTGCTTAAATTTTTCTAACATATAAGATAAATGGTTCTGGAGGACTTCCTCTCTTGGATCATTACTTTCGATGTCCTCTACGATTGCACGTGCTAATCCTAACTTTATTATAGACTCTCCATGACCAGTTAAAGAGCAACCTATATTTTTGATAGCATATGTACCACAACCCAATATAGGAGAATCTCCTACTCTTCCTACCAGCTTCCTATTTAAGCCACCTGTTGTAGTTCCAGCAGCAACACTATATCCATCGTATGCAACACACCCAACAGTACCAAAACTATCTACAAATAACAACTATGTAAATGTATAGAATTCTAATTGTTAGATATGCTTTTATTATTGTAAACTAATGTACTTGTTAATAAATCAATATCAATTAAGCACTGGTCATCAATGTCTATTTCATATTTTCCTTTCTCTGTTGAATTAAAAGCTACACGCGCAATCGGTGCAACCATATTTCCTTCCGATATCCAATTCATATCAGCGTGTTTCGCTAAATTTTTCGCACCATCGCCGACAAAAATAGAATTTGGAAAATAATTCATAACATATTTTGCAAGTGTTATAGGATGTTCTATGTCTGAAACTGCTGCTACTGAGCCACATTTAAATGTTAAGCCATCCATTATGCTTGCATCCATTTGCACTTTTCCTACACGATAACAGCAGGAATATAATACTATAATTTGATCGGTTGATCAAGATAGATGTCGTACATAATAAAACTACCTATTTCATTTAACATAGAACCATAACTACAGTTAAAGAATTCATCACATTCCAGCCACCATAATGCTGTTTCTACAGCATCCACAGAGTTCTCGCCATTTAATAACATTTTATATCCATTAATAGCAGCTTTTTTGCAACCTGTCATTTTTTCTATGACAATAGAGTCACTAAAATTTCCTGCACCCCCGTGTACGATTATACATGGACTATTACTTTCATAACACTTGCATTCTCCCTCCCCAATTTGTTTTCGCGTATTATTATAACACGTTGTAATATCTTCATACTGCATTTTTGCTATTTACTTTATACTTTTCAACATTAAGAAAATACCAACCACAATTTTGAGGTTCAAAACATAAAATAATATATGCTCGATCTTCATTTTTTTAAACATACCTGTTGATTTTCTCTGCAATTCCGCTAATTTGATACTCAGTTACACCATCTAAGGCAAGTAAAGTTTTTAATACTACAATAATAAATGCTATTGCACGACCCTCATAATTCGGAATATATGATTTTTTTGAATTAAATACCATTTTGGGAGGTGCTAACGCTATTAATCTTTCGGTGTATAATTGAATACCTCCTAGAAAACAATTACACATGTACAACTAAATTAACTGATACATATAAATCTGTTGAATAAAAATATTTTACATACTTGGTAATGCTAATTCTTGACAATATCGATTAATTAAAGGTAAAAAATCTGGGCAAATTACATTCCACACGCCGAGAAATTTTGCCATACTCGCAATAGTTCGCCTCATACCTTTATGCGTAATTTCAACGTTTTGCGATAAAAAGTGTTTTTCGATTTTAGTTGAACTTACTTCTGGTGGTAATAAATGATCTAACTTGTAGTAAGATAAATGTCCTTCTCTTCCGTATCTAAATAAACATATTTATATGTTTAGAAAAGAATGTTTAATACTGGAATAAAAGGGTATATTTAATGCGTACCTTAGCATATCTCCTAATTGTATAGGCTGATTATGAATTCTTAGAGCTAGATATATAATTGCCCATAATTTCATTGGTGTAATCACATGAGGTCCCGTTTTATACTGAGTACTTATGTGGGTTGCTTTGTATTTAGCTCTCTTATGCTTAGGTATATTTTTAGCTAGTTTTTTAATCTTTTTTGCTTCTTGTTTAGCATGCGAGCTGAATTGCACTCTAAATAAATGACAAATTATAAAGAATTTTTGACAACATAGACATGTGTATGCATAAAAACACTGAATACATACTTCCTTTCATCGATCGAAGATTTTACAGAGCTAGACTGATTGCTATATACACTTTGGCTACCTGTATTAGCATCGTCAGAACTAGCTTGAGATTGAAGGTACCTATCATAATCTGCAGCTACTAAAAGTTTCTAAACAAAATTTTTATATAAATCGAAAGTTTAACTTTGAAATAAATGTGATTCAAGTAATTACCTTGTTTTTACTTAACTCTCTACTAGAACTACCCTCGCTTTGAAAACTTGATATCATGGAAGTGCTAGCACTGCTGCCAGTTCTCTTGCGTTTTCTATATCTTTTTTGAATTCTTACTTTACCATAAATAATTTCAGCATCCCTGAAACGATAAAGATTTAATTACAAGCACATTTGAATAAAATATCACGTTTAATATACCTGCTGTTATATCTTCTAGCCAACTTTGGTATACATTTTTTCTTAGTTGAGAGAAATGCAACTTCTATCTTTCTTAAATACGTTGCCCATAATTGTAATATTGTCATTTTTATATCAGAAGGAACTCCGAGTTCTATAAGTTCATTTGTCAATCCAATAAGAACAAAATTGTACAGCTCCCACGAAGTCCATCCAAGTTCTTCACCTAACAATTATAGAAAGAATAATAAATTATCCATTTAAAAACTGTAATCATTGTCAACGTAATATCCAAATATAAATATGAACCTGATATATCAGATCTTAATTGTCTGATTTTCGTTTTCCGCAATCTTGTTGAACTATCTATACGCAATTCGAGGACCTCCTCCCGGATATTCTGCAAACGTAATACGATTAATAAATGATCTCTTTTAAAAAATATATTAAATAACAATACCTCGTTCTGAGTTTGGCATGTTTGACAGAAAAAATAACCAGCTTCTTTGTAAAAGTTCGTGCTATTGCAAACTTTGCACGTGGACATTTTATTCGTAAATTATTAAGTTTAGAATTCATATGATAAGGTTATGCAGCATCGTTGCCGCAAATTTAAAATTCCTGAAGTTTCTGTTTTACAAACATGGTCGTACTTAAACGTAAACTACAATTGGTGCATTGGGGGCGAATGACATGTCGACGATACAAGTAAAACGGACATACATATGCACTTGTGCATGTATGCACTTTTTGGCGTGCATGTAGCTTATAGCGTTCACCGCTAATTTACGGTTGAGCTTTTGAAGAAATGTAAACAATAATCGGAGCTTTTATTTGAAAAGTTTATAAATGAAACATACAAAGTGTGACAAATATTCAACCAATCTATTGTGAGATGATATAATTATCAAATTGTGCATTGAAAATTTGTTACGTTAAGGGAACTAAAGTATATAGGTCGATCCTGTATTCGTTTGTAGTAGCGTCCTAACCTCCCTCTTGTATTGTACTCTTCGAAGAAGTTTCATATTTTTAAATAGAAAAGCTCGATTAGATTCTCTAATGGTTATGAACAATTTCCTTCAAGGAAAAGGGTTATCGTGGAAATATGACAGTGTACGGAACTCTGAATGGAAGATGACAAAGCGCGTATAGTTCGTGATTATGGAGTATGACTCTGCATCGAGTTGCGAAGGTCGTCTGAGAGATTTTGAAGTTTCAGAAGATCTGCCGCGTTTAGGAGGAACGCAAAAACCTGAACGTTCAGCTTGTAATACAAATACCACGCCATGGCATTCTTTACAAGTTCTGGCACCGCAGTCAAAGCTGAAACTGGGGACAACAAACAGAAGCCTTTCCTCTCAGGTGATGGAGTATTACCACAAATATTCTCAAAGTGCAAATTTAGATCAGTATTTTTCATTGCCTACAACCAGCGCAACGCCAGAAGCAATTAAATATTATTATAGTATATACGAAGTAAATCCTAAATTAGGAGATCATAGGCAAGACTGTATCGGCGAGGAATATAATTTAAGATCTTGCGTGCCTAGAGAGAGAAGAAGATGGGTAAGACCACCTCTTATCGGTCAGTCTTCAAACACAGAATCAACATCCAGGTACGTTCAGCCATTGTCCAATCCTGAGTCTCCATCACCCGATTTAAAACGTGTTACACCGGAAACAATTTTAGAAGAGAAACATGAAAGTCCAGAGATACTAACCGAAGTGACAGAAAGAAAAATATCTTCTCCAACTTCTAGTATTGCTTCCCACAAGCCGCTCGAATGGGATAGCGGCGCAGACGTCGGATACTTCAACATATTACCTAGTAATAAACAGAGCGACAAGAAATTAAGTACAATCGAACGTATGGCTTTAGCGAGAGGTTGTTCCGCCGCTTTAAGACTCGATCCTGAAGGTACTACAGAATCGGGGATATCTGGAAAACTTGCAGGAGGTCAGAAAAGCACTAAAGCTTCCATGACTCCTGACGCCAATTCTACTCCTTTGTTGGGGAACGCTTCAGGATCGGAGAGCGAGATCGAAATCACTCCCATCGTGAAGAATCACTTGCCAGGTATAATAACAGGAAGCGGTATAAAGTCAACTGAAAGATCTCTACCTAAAGATCTCAAGCAGCAAGATGTTTTCATGCAACACTCAAAAAGGGAGCAACATATCCATGACACGCCCAAGTCGACGTTTACGTTTAAATTACCTTTCGCGAAACATTCGACCGAGGTGAGAAAAGTAACGAACAAACAAAACGTGAGCAAAGAGAACGTATGTCCACCAGCGTTGCCTTTGAAAAAGAGTACATCGATGAACACGTTAGTTATATCATCTTCAAAATCAACCCTGAAAAGGAGTCAAAGCGAGTTAAACTTGTACGCTAGAGATAAGAATAGAGCTACGTTGCCGTTAATGTTCAACTCTTCCTCTTCGATCTCCACTATTGTAAATAAACCTTCCACTTGTGATAAAGTTATACAAACCAGCCTGAACATCTACACTCAAGAATCCGTTGGTGTTCAAGTTTCGGTTCTCGATGAAGAGAAGCCACCATTGCCAAAGAGAGGAACTAGTTTGCAAAAAAGTTTCATCACAATTCTAAAGGACGTACCAAACGGTACGTATAAGGTTCCAAATTCAAGGAAACAGGAAGCCGCAACTGAAACGCGAGAGGCTGTAACGGGCCAGCAACGATGTCGCGACGAAACCAAACAGCGATCGACGCGTTCGGAAGTATCGAGAAATGGATCTGCAACGCAAACACCTCAACCTGATGATACGGAAAATATAACGGGAAGGGCGAACAGTTTTGAATATTTTCCTGGTCACGTTTACGAGAACGTACCAAATGGAAGCGGTAGCCACGTCTCTTCGTCGGAGACCGGAAGATCGCACTCTACTCTACCTAATACAAGCTCCAGTATTAACGAGAAACTGTGGGGAGATTCGGACAGCTTGGTGAGAGATCTGGAACGTAGCGTCAACATCCTGAAAAGTCTCGTCGACGCGAACAAGTGCGACAAGGAGGTGAAGAAAAGACTGATACATCACGTGGTGAAAAGACTTATAACAGCCAAATATACGGACGACAAGATCGAGCACAATTTAGAGGACAATGTCCCGTGGAACCCGGACGACGCCAGACAGAAAGTTTACGGGGCAGAGATATTTCAAGCTTTAACAAAGAAACACAACACCAGCGATTCATCGGCCGATTGGAATCCACAGAAAGGGATGACGAGGGATAAGTCTACGAGAACCGGGAGGGGGATCGCGAAAGATGTTACCTTGGACAGCAGCAGCGACAAGATGGACAAAAACACGGATAGAACGGAGACTGATGGTCGAAAGGCGAGGATGGGTCTCAGACTGGACGACTGTCATCGAAGTAGCAACACCACAACCGATCCGGAGAAAAGCGAGAGTTCCGACTGTTTCTTCCCACAAAGAGGTCGCAAGGGTAACAAGGTACAGGACATATTCTGCGTGAAGGAGAGGTGCAAATTATCGCAGGGAGACTCGTCGACGACGAACACCACACCGCCCGATCACAATAGAATGTTACTGGACGCGGTTGTTAACAACAGAAAAGCAAGCGTTCGCTCGAGCAACAACACGGACGAACAGGTGGACTGGAGACTGCTCACTACCTTCTCCGAGAGGCAATTCGAACTGAAAAAATGCAGTAATTCTGATTCTGGGGACTCAAAGTTAGTCAGCTACGCGGAGATGGAGAAGAGGAATCAATTGATTTGGATTACAAACGAGATCAGCCATCTATGCAATCTGAAGAAACTTTTGGAGGAACCGCGAAGACTGGACAGACCCCGGGCATCCCCGAAGAAATCTAGGTCCGCAAACTTCAGGACCAAGCCCGTAGAGTCTCTGCCTCACATGCACGAACTGTCCAAAACGAACGATTACTCGCAGAGAAACGGATCGGACGCCCGAGCTAATTTTGTCGAAGAACCCTGGTCGTCCCATTGCAATCTCGCGGCGTGTCAGCCTTCCAGCAGGTCAAACAGCGTCATCCAACGCGTTAAGAAACGAAACAGTTGCGCGCAAACGGCGACCAATGTAACGGGCGCGCATTCGAAGACTGGTGGTGAGATCGTGTCCGCCTCGAGCATACACAACTCCACGACGAAGCTGATAAGCACCGGGGTGCAAACCGTTCCCCAGGAATCCTCCTCCACGGTCCCCACCTTGATACAGTCGGAAATCGTGCATTACATCAAGTGCCCCGCGCACGATGCGATGCATTTCCAGAATAGCTGCAAATACACCGAGCAGCCCAATCAGTGTATGAAGCATCAAGCTATTCAGAACGTGCTCACTACTTGCGTGCATTGTTTGCAGGAACAAAAGGATCAGTCGAATAGGATTCAAAAGGTGTACCCTCCGGCGAACTTACAGGAAGAGGGTCCTCCTGTTGCCTCTCAAACATCCTCCGATCAGACGAACAGTACGGGTTCGTCGGATATGATTACGCAGCACTGCGCGGATAAAGAGGTTCAAACGAACTCTTCGAAACAGAAGGAGGCGAAAAATCAAATAAACGCGTCGAGATCGAAGTCCTGCGATTGCAGATGCGAAAGTAAGAAGCATTTGTCTAAGGAATGTCGATCGTGTTCCACGCAAATGGCGATCGAGACTAACAACGTAAGCTCAAAATGCGAGGATTGCCAGAAAAAGGTATCCTGCGTTCACGAAAGGGAAGAGTTGAACTCGAAAGAGTGCAGCTGCACCGCTGCTTGCGAATGCGAGAACAGTTTGTCCAAGAAGGGATGGACAGCGATGAGATCTGGTACAAAGTATTATCAGGATAGCAACGGCTACGTTTCGAGCTTTAATCAAAATAATCGTACAAAATTATGCGAATGCCATTGTGGACATTGGACGGAAACGGAGGATCGTCCGATTCAGACGCGACCTTATCGGGCGACCAACGGTGAATCTTCTCAATATAAAGTACAAAAAAACAGCCTGAAATGCAATTGCGAGAAGGATTGTCTTTGTAACGTTAGAGGGAAAAGCGAGGACGCGTCGCATGGTAGGATCTGTAACAACGGCAGGTCAAATTATGCGGACGAAGGAAATAATCAGAATAGTGATTCTGATCGAAATTATAAGCAATGTTGTCGTTGCGGGGCCGCTTATCAAACCGTGAAAAAATGTAATTGTAATCAAACTTATCCGAAAGCGGTAGCGTACGAGTTATCGTTTTCTAAAGATAACGACCGGAAAAACGATAATTTGGCGTCGTTGCAAAAAGTGCCATTACCGAATCGTACCGTTAACGGGGCTAAAATCGATGGCTGTGTCTGTAATATGATTAAAAAGAATGGCTCGAGTAAGAATTCGACGCGGAAGGATACTTTGCAGGTATACAGATTAAGTTTCACACGAGTAACGCTAATAATTCGAGTCACTTGGGTTCGTTTAATCGTTTCAGGATTACTTGTCCAAGAATAAAGCGGACTTCGTGAGCAATGCAGAGACACGGAGACAATACATGTCGGAGATATCCCACCTGCGACAGCTGCGCAAGGAGAAACGAATACAATTGTTGGCTATGGCTAGTACGTCGAACGTGGTAAAACCATTGAAAGCTTGTTCTAAACCAACAGGTAAAGATTGATTAAATCACGAATTAAAATTTAACGGATTACGCTGCTGAACGAAATGATAACGCTGGGGGAATTCCGTAGGAAAGTGTTTGATCTTACTGGAATTTGAACCAAACAATATCGTCTATAATTATTGATGAGCTACGTCTTTATTAATCTCAGGTTCATCATTTTATTCACCAGCGTATCTCGTAAGATACCATTCTTCGTTTACATTGTTTTTAAAATTTGAAATATAGTTTGTACTCAGAGGAAGATGAACGATGAAGAAATGAGGGAAAGACTGCGGAAGAGATATCTTCGTTTGAACGAAGTACGACAGAAGAAGCGACAACAAGAGAAGCAAGAGGAAGCACGACGTAACAAGCTGATGGCCAAAATCTTTTGTAAAAAGTTGCAGCAGAAAGTACTGAGGGGCCAAGTAGATCTATCGCAAAGCGTTAGCGTTATCTCAAACATATAATGTTAAGACGGATGATAGAGATAATAGAGAAGCGTACAAAGTATTTCACCTTTTAACTCGACAGGGATCATTAAATTGAAAGATCTTGTTATGAATCTCACTTTTCTTTACGTTATTGCATAATATATATATACATATCGTATTCGTGTTTATGTTTTAATTTAAGACGCGTTTGAAAAATTATTGCTACGTTCGTTGTTGCTCGTGTGTAACACGGATCGAGACTTAAACGATCGAAGAATATTAATTTGTTATATATAACTAAGAATTATAGTATTATAGCGTGTTGATCCTATAGATTCGTGCCTAATGTTCACGGCATTTGTATCGAACTTAAAGAAATTTTGTCTTGCCAAGATATTTTCATATATTAATGATATACTTAGACCACGACGCACGTTGCATGAGATCTGATATAGTGTTACAACAATAATAACTTTTATTTTCGTGGAAGAAACGATCAGTGATTTCACGGTGTTCGAGGTTTCGCATTTTACCGGTAAAATGTTGTTGAAAGGAAAACCTTCGAGCGTCGTGGAAGCGTTCGTAGAAAACTGAAATGCTTTAAGACGATGAAAGTAGTTATTAGTACCTGAATCACAGTACACAACCCTTTGTTAATCGTAAGACTTAGATGATATATATATAGTCTCTTGGATTTTTCTAATATTTTACCTTTTTGTATGACGATTATACTCATTTGGTTAATAAAAATATAACGTACATTCCTCATCTTTTTCTTTACTTTCACCTTCATATCTTTGCAAACATGCTCTGTTTAAAGTTTCAATCTAAGACATTTTGCTCAAGAAACCTTCGCACCGTAAAAATGTTAAAAACTGTAATTTCTTGGATTAGAACCACGTGTGCAACGAGACTGATTTCACTCACAGAGATATATTTTTTATCGTTTACTGTCCTTGGTCGTTGAAGGAAAATTACGCGACAAAATAAGAGATATCTTAAAAATCAAATCGCATCTTCGAGGCACAAATTGTGCCATGATTGTTGAATTTTCTTAAATAGATCAACATCCTTGCATCATTCAAAAAAATTTATCGGTGTATCGTTTTAGAAGATTAATTATCCGACTGAAAGGAAAAATGAATAGACTGCAACCTTGCTCCAGTAAAACCAACGCTCAACAAAAACTTAACAATTTCAGCTCCGTTTGTTCTATATAAGAACATCTGCGGATTCCGAGGCAGTTGGTTCTCTCTGAAAACTAAGAACACGTCTCGTTCGACACAGATCGAAGTATAATATTTTTCAAATTGATTGTTTAAATCTCGACTCGAATGCCACGGTGTTCATTCGTGTTCACGAAATCCGTTCTTGTGTCTCTAATCAACGATCATTATAAATAAATCTTATCTCGCCTTAGCTGTTTGTTGTTGAAAGACAAAGCAATTTAGAACAAGTTTGTTTTGGACAATAAAAGCTAATTCCGCTTATTAACAGTTTGATAAGAATTTGCAATGAACGCCCCACCATCAATTCAAAGTTCGATGCACCTTATCAGGATTAGTTTCCTTTCGATATCAGTATTGAATAGGTGAGAAAAATAAAATATTTAATACAATAAGACTGACGATCAACAGTAATAGACCACTGAGTATTCGTTCGGTAATACAGAAGGACGTAGACGCGAAATCGGCAAACTTTGAAAATTCTTCAATAGTTTGTGGCAACATTTTGGAAAGATGGCTTCGAAAAATGAATTGGATCAGCTTTTATATAAAACCTTTACCAACCAAGTTCGTACAGGATATATCACTGTAGAAGGTGTTTGTCTGCCGGAAAGATACAAAAAGTTTGCGCAAGCGATCGAGGATCTGGAAGTCAAAGAAGATGATGTTTGGGTCTGCAGTTTTCCTAAGACCGGTATACTTTCTCACTTATTCTATTGATAACAGAAATTTATGAAGAATGTTTAATTTAAATAATGCGATCAGGAACTACATGGACCCAGGAAATGGTATGGTGTATCGCAAACAATTTAGATTACGAAGGGGCGAAGGTACCCTTGGCTGAAAGATTTCCATTTTTAGAGTAAGTTTCATTTTACTTGATTCTGATTTTACATAATTATAAAATGACGCTAGCACCGGTGAGAAATATAAAAAAAAGGTAGATGTTTTGTTATCTGCACTTATTAGAACTGCTACATAATCTTAGCAAACTACACTGATGGAATTAATTCTGGACATTTTGAATAAAAATAATCTTTATTTCATATTTGCGCAGAAAATGCTATGCTAAATTGATACCGTAATATTTTTATTGCAATCTATAATGTTTGTACTTAATATTTTCACATGATTTCGTTTGTAAATGTTTTAAAATTTTAATTAAAAATCTAAACTCTGTTGTTATTTTTGTTTTTTCACCTGGCAACAATCACAGGATTGGATATTAATTTTTTTCTGCCTCTTTTGATATGTTGAAATTGTAATTTTTATTGTATATTAAAAGTATGGTTGTAAATGGTCTTTTTATTGATTTTTTTTATATAAGCGACGCCCTAAAATTAGAAAACAATGATTAGAATATAAAATATAAATGATTATACACGGTGTTTGACAAGAAGTGGGCAAAATTTTAAGGGGTGATTGTAGGGATCAAAATAAGACGAAAATCAAGAATAACGAAATAGTGTTTGCGGCTTTGTTTTCCAGTAATTAACGTTTACAAATTCGAGTAAAAAGCGCCTGAAACCTGCAATCCGCCCAGCACCGACGACTGAACGTCAGGTCAGCAGGGGAAGGTACAGTCATAACCAAGAATCGTTGAATAGTAGAAATTTACCTCGTGCTATTCTGTTTCTCGGTATGCAGCATTCGGCTTTCTCTTCTTGGTTATGACTGTACCTTCCCCTGCTGACCTGACGTTCAGTCGTCGGTGCTGGGCGGATTGCAGGTTTCAGGCGCTTTTTACTCAAATTTTTAAACGTTAATTACTAGAAAACAAAGCCGCAAACGCTATTTCGTTATTCTTGATTTTCGGCTTATTTTGATCCCTAGAATCACCCCTTAAAACTTTGCCCACCTGTTGTCGAACACCCTGTATATTAAACTATTTGAATAAATGCGAAATTTAGTAAAAATTTAAGTGCCCAGAATTAATTCTACTAGTGCATATTGACACACGGATAACTCTATAACTCAATAACTATAAAAATCAACCAGATTACCACTTGGAGTGAAAAGATTATGTAAAAACAGATTTGCGTTTAATCTTCTACAAATCATTTACAAATAAAAACCACATGTTTGGCCAGGATTTCCGCACTGTTCGATGCTTCATCCATGCCTCAACGACCGGGAACCAAACCTGAGTTGTTCAATATGGACAGCCCGGCTTACGTGAAGAACAAACCCAGTCCGAGATTTATCAAGACTCATTTACCCTTTCATTTATTACCACGACAGATTCGAACGGGTGAAAAGAAACCGAAAATTATCTACGTTGTCAGAAATCCAAAGGACACCTGCATCTCTTATTATTACCATTGCAAATTGATAGAGGGTTATCATGGCGACTTTAACACCTTCTGTCGCCTGTTCTTGGGTGACAAATGTACGTACAATCACAACAGAAACAATAACCAATTGATTCCTGGTGTTTCTATTCGATTGCTTTCTTACAGTAAACTATGCTCCATACTGGGATCACGTTATCGACTTTTGGAATAAGAGGAACGACCCCAACATGTTGTTCTTAAAGTACGAAGACATGAAAGCGGTAAGTAACGAACTAAAGTTTTCAATTAGCTGATCAATAATGTTCGTTCGAAGATGCGATGATGTTTTTTTAAAAATTTAGGATTTACCGGCGGTAATTAAGAAAACAGCAGCGTTTTTGAACAAACCTGTGCCTGTCAGTGGGATGAAAGGGTTGTTGGAACATCTGAGTTTCGATAATATGAAGACTAATCCAGCCGTGAACTTCGAGAAAGTAATTAACGATATTAAAAAGTTCAGACCGATTGAAGGTAACGATGAATTCATGCGCAGCGGTAAAGTTAACCAGTGGAAAGAAGCAATGCCTGAAAATGTCATACTTCAGTTTGATAAGTTGACGAAGGAGAAATTATCTAAACACAATATTTACGCCTAAACTTTAAACCTTACAATAAACACATATCAGTTGAATTATATCCTTGTCTTTGGTTCAATGCATCGAAGAATATTAGGCATGCTAGTTTTTGATAGTTCACCTATCGACGCCTTAGTCAAAGGTGTAACGACGCTGGTATCGCTTCCTCTTTCAATTAAAATGATCGCCGCATCTCTCTTCCTCCATAAAATCGCTATCTGAAGAGCAGTCAAATTCCTATTGTCCAGTGAATTAATTTCAGCACCGTGATTCAACAAAAGTGAAACAATGTCCACGTTCGAAAGATACACTAAAACAAATAAATTTCTGTAATGATTTATTAAATCCTTTTGCTTTAATTTTATTCACCTGATACCATAAGCGGTGTACGTCCTTGGAAATCTTGCTGATTTATAGAGGCACCAGCTTCTAGAAGAAACAGAACATTTTTTGATCGTTCTGCTACGATGGCGTACTGAAGACAAGTCCAGCCTCTCCTATAAATATATTTTCTTTGACAAAAGAACGACAGAATTTCCTACCTTCCTATTTTATTTCTTACATGTCTACTTTTCCTAGATCCGCCCCTTTTTTCAAAAGAACTTGCAACAATTCCGGATTTCTCGAAACGAATGATGCATACATGAGAGCTGTTCTTCCCCAAGGTTGAGTGACGGTATCGTTTAAAGTGTTTAAATTATTATCTAATAAAACTGACAAGATTTGTGGATCGCCTCGATCAATAGTTGATGTCAGAGGTGTTTTTAAATTTGGCGTGGGATAATGCAAATCTATCGACGGGCTGCAATCGTAACACCAAATATTAACATCGCGAAAATAAACTTTACATTAACATACCTACTTCTGTGTTAAAAAGTCTTTGATTTGTTTGATAGTTGCGAATCTAAGAAGCCACATGAACTGCTCCTCGATGGAACCTGAAACAAAACGTTAATTTATTAGTACAAATACAGTGGTATACGTCTACTTTGGAATGTATCCTGTTTGGACGTAACAAATTTTGCTCGGTATACGACATAAATTTTTTCTGCGAATTTTGCGTCATTTATATTAATAGCAGTTTTTTTTACATGAGAACGGATTAATCATTTGTACATTACTTCTTATGGGAAAGGTTGGTTTGGTATACGTCCTACTCTGTATAAGTCCAAACATCAGGAACGGATTAAGGTCGTATACCGAGGTACCACTGTAGTAAAAAATTATTGTATCACGTTGTCTTACTATTTTTCTTGAAATTATATCTCATTCTCGATATAATGGAAAATTTATTGAATATTATGGAAATTTGTGTTATCAGTGGACAGATGTTTCTGCGCCGGTTTCAAATCGACCAAACATTCCATGATTATCTTCCCGCTGAACGCAACATGTTTAAAAATGTTCAATTATGTAGAGCTATACAGAAGAACTTTTGCCATTCAAACTTTCAAGGATACCATTATCCTACTACTGTTAATAAAATATTAATGATTTCTTAAAGCTTCCAGTTCACGATTTATCTGTAAAGTTATATTGAAATCGGTGCATAACATCATGTACTTCCTTTGTTAGTTGGTGCTTTAATTGGAGACATGCATTCCATTCTATCGAGCACCGGAAGGACAGCAATCCAATGACACTGTCTTTCTCCACGTCGAGGAAACTTTTAAAGACGTTGAACCACGATCGAGGCCCCTCTAAAACAAGTATACTTTCCCTTCGAGACGGTAACACGTGCTGGTATACTAACCGTTCGAATGGCCAAAGTCTACTTTCTAGAGAGACGGTAGCCAGAACGAGTCGAGGCCGCGTCCATTGCTGTGCTTCTGTGCCTTTCATTCACCTCTGGACAATAATTTTTGTTTTTCTGCAACTGAGATTATTTAGGCTTTTCATAAATTCAGTGACCGACGAGACGGGCGTTGAATCGTTCAAAAGTTTCACCTGAGGATGATGAAGTGATGGCAGATGTTACAAGAAGGTGGATAACGTGCGTTCTTGTGACAATTTTGGCATGTGTATTGTTTCCTGCCTGTGGTATGTGTTTAAGAGAAATAGAAATTTACATTGATACTTGAAAGTACTTGCAATATATTCATAAATAAAATAGATATACTTACTTTTCTATTGAATCAGGATAAGTTAACGTTTCTCATCAAGCATCGAAGTCCCCGTTTATTGTTAATTATAGCAGCTGCCCCTTATTGCCTCGTTCAGTTCTAAACAAAGAATATATCATTATTTATTGACAAATGAAAAATTGATCATGAATGAAATGTAATCGACAGGCTTCGCTCAATCGGATGACGAAGAGTACAAGGGCAAATACCTTGGGAAGTTGAACGCGTACCATCATCAGGTATCCGGTGACGTTTACGTAGTCGACGAGTACACGTTGCTGCTGACGTCTTTTAGCTATGATGGCAATGGAGCCGACGCCTTCTTCTGGGCTGGTGCGACGAACCGACCGGGTCCTCAAGGTTTCATCGTACCCGATGAATGGGGCAAGTCAGTTCTTTTCGATAGAAAAAGAAATTTGACGAAGAGCTGTGCAGGTAAAATGCGTCTTTTGTTTCAGAACAAACGTCTTGGACCGATATTTTAACAAGGACTTCACGCTCACCTTACCGGATAATAAGAAGATAACGGATATTAAATGGTTTGCTGTATACGATCTGGGAAGCCAGGTACAATATTCTTTGTAATTGAATTAATATTGTAATATTATAATATAATAATATTGTAATATTATATTATATGGCTATTAAATTTAGAATACATTCGGGGACGTGTACATTCCTGAAGAGTTCGACCCTCCAACGCCCCAGAAAATATCTCAATTGACAAAACGATCGCACGGAGTGTCCTCCGAGGCTATCGTGATTATGGACTCAAAAACCATAAAAATACCAGAATTCAAATACAATGGGCAAGGAACAGACACGTATTTCTGGGTAGGACTTGGTCCTCAACCTTCCAGCAAAGGAACCAAAGTTCCCGACGAGTACGGCTAGTGAGTACACGCTATTTGAGTCCGTTTACAAAAGTTTCTTACAGAAATAATGTTTATAACATTTATCAGTTTGGATCCGATTCGTGAATACAAAGGGGAAGATGTGATCATTCAATTACCTGGGGACATGACTGTGTTCAATATCGATTGGCTAAGTATCTTCGACGTGAAGAGTAAATCAAATTACGGCTCTGTTATAATTCCTGATGGCTTGAACGTGCCTCCTTCCCTAGTAAAAGTAATAAATTATTTCAATTTCCCATCGGTTGTACGGTCCGAAGGAAAAATAACATTGAGCGATCTATCAAAGTACAGGTGATCAAGCACGCGCAGGCCTTACCAAATTGCGTTCAACTTCATAAACGGTATCAAGTTAGCTGGGAAATTTTCGGTCCTCAGATCACCGTTCAATTAGCTGGACAAATCGGTAAGTGAAATTTAGTGGCAGGGTAAAATGAAACAAGGTTAAACATTTAAATTTTCCAGATGAGTCTGAATACATGGCGTTTGGGCTATCCGGTTCAGAGACTTCTAGCCAAATGGAAGGAGCTGATGCTGTAATTGCTTATATGGACGATACCAGAGGATACGCCATGGATTATAACATCACCGCCAAGGCACCGGTATGTAAATGTATACCAAATTCCATCAGACCTAATTAGAATAACTTGTTTTATTCCGTGAACAGTGTGGAAAAGTTCTTGGTCAATATAAAGGTGTCTGTAAGGATGAATTGTTGGGTGGTCAGGATAACAATCAATTGTACACAGCTGCAAGAGAAGATGGAATCACTGTTATCACTTACAGACGTACTCTTAATTCATGTAAGTATTTTTTTAAAAAAATGAGTAAAGGTGAAATATACTGAGTACCTTAAATTGTAGCCGATTCAGGAGACAAAGAGTATCCAACGGATAGACCAGTTTACGTGATATGGGCTCTAGGAAAAATGGACGAGAACAAAGAACCAACTTTCCATGACATATATCCCAAGAGTGATTTGAAGTTAGAATTAGCCCGTCAAGAACCAGAGAACACCTGCATGGATTTTACAGAGACCAATGAGAAATTCATGTGAATAGCAAATTTATCTAGAACAAATATTTCTGATATAATCATTGTAATTATAAATGTTCTTTCATTAGAGAACCATGGGAAAAGGCTGATATATTTGCCATAAGTATTCGAACTTTTAAAGCCACAATTGGACCGTCTGGTGGTAAAAAAGGCTATCAAGGAATCACAGGTGTGCTGAAAGTGTTATATAATTTCTTTGATACTGAATACCAGTAAATTTATATATTTTGTAGGACAACCATCTACCGGTTTGGCATGGTACATCGAGGGTCAATTGGTACCCGAATTGTACCTGCGTCGAGGATTAACTTACAATTTCCGGGTTCACGGAGGAAATAATCCTCACAGTCCTAACTTGTATCATCCATTTATTATAACTACTGAACCACACGGTGGATACGATAGGCTCAGTGATGCAGCACAGAATAAAATCAGAGTTCTAGCTGGTGTCGAATTCACCAGAAGAGGTCAACCCAGACCAACAGCAGGTTCATAGAATAAAATAATTAATTCTTCTTTTGTTAAATAGAAATATTGAATGTTTGTTCTGTTTAATTTTTCCAGTTGGCCCACTTTGTCTGAGCAAGCATAACAAACGAGATAGAAGACTGGATGATGACTTTTTAACGTTCAAGCAATTCAATAGATCACTAGTGAGTACCTGTGAACCAGGAGAAGGTGGAATTTTGGAAGTTACTCCAAATTCTACGTGGCCAGACATCGTTTACTATAATTCATTCACCCATGCTAATATGGGCTGGAAAATACATGTGAGGGATGCTAACTCAAGAAACGTTGCTGTTGTTGGAAAATTGTCGTTGCTCACAGGAATAATGGCTGTGATTGTTCATTTGTTATAAAAATAGGTAGAAGTTGTTGAAATCATTCATACATTTTCATATGGACATCACCTGACAAAATTTTGGTCACAATGAATACAGAATGTTGAGTTCCTACAAAAAAAAATAAAATAATCAAAAATAAATTAGACAGTTACTTGGTTGTGAATTATACATACATCACCTGTTACACACTTTAGTTGCTTTGTGAATATTTAACGATACTGTATTTATTTAGTTATACCGATATTGTTCATTTATTATTTATAGGTAACATTTCAATTGTATGATAAACTCAAAATTTTATAAATATCATAATACAAGACGTTTCGTTTTCGTGACATAAAAAAATTTGTGCTGTTTTCTATAAACAGGTGGATTTATCACGGAAATGAAACGTTTATTATTTAAAGCATATGTTCATACATTTTGCGTTTATAAGTATTGTTATTCGAATGATTACAATTTTAATATTTTTCTTTTGTAATTAATAAATAGAAGCAGTGAAACATACCGAAGGTGTTTTCAATAAATATAAATGTGTTATATTCTTCACTAAAATCCGTTCATTTGCTGCATAATTTTATGAATTTGATGGTGATGTGTGTTGTAACAGTATGGCAATGCTCGAATATAGTACATCTTTGGCATTCAAATTAATAGCCATGTCTTCTTCACAGATCTTTGACGTTTTGTATCCTTATTATGTATTTATTACACAAGATCTCTTCCATAAAATGAGTGTAAAAGCTTATTCAATAATTCTCCGTTTTTTGTTTTCACTAAATGTTATTCTTAAAATATAATGTCAATCCATTCACACGCGATACATGTTAGAAGATATTCTAGCTAATGATTTACGTACAAGTACATAAATCGATATCGAATTATAATATAGCATCCAACATAAAAACCTTATCAAAACATCTTTATTCAAACCAGTCTTTTCGAGTTGGATACTTTACCATTCTTACACCTTTCAAAATAACTATTTTGTATAATAATTATTTTCTTTAAAAATATTACTTTCCTCAATAAAAAGTGAGATTGTACAAATTCTAATTTCTTCATACAATCGTAACAAAGTATGAGAGATTTAGTTACATTCGATATAGGAGTGTTTATATTCCGAAAATGGATTTTTAAAATTTTTTATCATACCTAATGTATCCTTGTATTCTTTATAACTTTGAAAAAATATTATATACAGGGTGTTCGGCGACGGGTGATCCTTTGAAGGGGTGGTAGCTGAGCCGATTTTGGACAACTTTTTCCTTTACTGGTCTGTATTTTTTTTTAATTATTCAAAAACTAAGCCTTGGTAAAAGAAAATGTTGTTCAAAATCACTCCAGCTCTATCAAAGGATACCCACCCATAGCCGAACACACTATACATGTACATATATTTGTATTGCGAACGTTGGTGCGTTTTCTATAGCTGAATTTAGTTCTATAAGTAATGAAAAAAAAAACATACATTATTAACGTAGAAGTTCTGTTTGTTATTCATTATTCTCTATGAAGTTCTAAAAATTGATAAAGTGTATCGGGCAGATCTATGTGTCTTCTACAACGAATGCCGTATTTCCGAATAGCTTGAGCCGCATAACACCGAAGACTAATATAGTTTACAAGATTCACATTGTTCATTAAATTTGAAGATATCAACCGTACTGGAGTCTCTCCGGCTCTGTTTGGGGTGTCTAAATGTGCCCCGTAGTCCAATAACAATTTTATTAGCTGTAAAGAACGGGTATTGTATTTAATTTCTTGTATTGTATTCAATTTGTATTTCTTACGCAGACGAAATTAAAATAAAGTGAAATACGTACTGCATTCTGAAAGTTAAATGGATCGCTCGCTATATGCAATGGTGTTGACCGCCATTCGTTCCTTGCGTTGACGTTCGCTCCGCATTCTAAAAGCAACTTGACGACTTTTAAGTGTGGGAAAATTCTCTATAAAAAATAATTCATATTTTATGTTCCAACAGTTTATGCTATGTACAGATTTGATCCATGCATGAAGTTAATGCAAAACACCCACGTGTATACTATCAGTAGCAGTAAAATAAGTAGAACTGATGGTATTCATTTTTGAAACGCAAAGATGCAGAAGCGTGTCTTCCGTATATGCAGATCTAGGTTTTTGTTTAACTAAATCATAAACTAGCTGCTTGGTTAGCGCCTTCTGATCATCCGATGTTCCTGTTTCCACTAATAAGTAAATAAGATGCGTTACACATTTTAGTATTCGTTCATAACTATCCCGTTGTCGCTTGTGTACTGGTCGTTTCTATAATAAAATAAGCTCAATATACAGAACAATAGTATCCAATTACACAAATTAATTATATTGTAAATTACCTCCAATAATTCTTTGGCTTCTGTTAATTGACTGGAAAGTAATTTAAATATTGCTACAACATCGCAAAACCTTGGTTCTTCCTTATCTCGATTATGATCTGCCGCTTCTAATGTGTTCTCATTTAATTCAACCATAAGCCTTAGCAAGGCTTGAGCAGTGAAACACGTATCGGCATATAAAATCGAATCTTTTTCCACCCGAATTTCTAACGCTCTGTGCCATAAATCTATACAATTTTGATATCTATAATAAAAATAAATAAATGGATAAATATCTGGGAAAAATCGCTTAACATATGTGTAAGTACCTGAAGGCTTCTGCATATGCAGCTCCTCGGAACATTAATCGGAATAAAGTGTCTTTATGATGTGGGCCTAGAATTCTCTCACATATTAATAAACTTTGGATTCTCATGGCATCTGAATCAAGCGCAATCGCGTTAAGTTCCTCTAATGTTGTGAACTCAGTTGCATTTTTATATATATCACGTTTAGGTAACAGAGGCCTTTTTGGTAAAGGAACACCATTTATTGCATTGGCATTTCTAATAGCTATTGCCGCGCGCCAATATTTTAATGCCTTTTGAATGTCACGATTATCATCAAAACATGTAGATCCCATTAATTCATTTGCATCTGCTAATCTTTCAGGAGAATAAGGAGAAACCTTTTCCACTGAATCACAATAAAGAATATTACAATTGGTTCTAAGTAATTACATAATGTTTTAAACAATCGAATTTCTATTACCTAAATATTCAAAAATTCTAATGGCCCCTTTTAGGCAAGCAGTTTGAAGAGCATCATCATTATATCGAGATCTAAGATGAGGATCTGCATTATGTTCAAGAAGAAGTTTGGTAGTTTCAAGCCTGTGTTCTTGAATGGCGTAATGTAAAGCAGTCTTATTTTGAATATCTGTTGCATTTACATCAGCACCATGGTTTAAGAGAAAAGTACATAAATCTACGCTTTGAACAGAGTTTATCAAGCATGTTCCACCATTATAATTGGCTTTAAGTATATCAGCACCATTTTCTACCAAGTATGAAACAACATCTAAAATCAACAAAATCATATTTTCGCGTTAAATTTTGTATTTGAAAACTAAAACCAATTGGTTTCGTGCTATGTTTGCATACATGTAATTAACACTGACATCTATTAAGTATAGATTTTGGCAAATGAACCACTGACCTAGACCTGACTATAGTTTTATTTTTAATACAATATAATTCACATTTATATGCTATATCAATCTTATTGCAAAATCATTTTGCATATATTAAATATTTTAAGCGAATACATTACCCATGTGAGTCATGAAACAAGCTGATCTCACAGGAGTTGAACCAGAATCTGAAACTGCGTTAACTTCAGCTCCATGAGATATCAAACATTTAATTACTGAAAGTTTTCCAGAAACAGCTGCACACCATAGTGGTGTAGCACAATGTACAGATCGATCATCAGGTACTTCATATCTTCCTTTTTGTTCAATATCTGCGTGGCATACTGTTATAAGGTACTCCACAATCTCCACGTTTCCCCTTTTGCAAGCAATGAATAAAGGAGCACAGCCATCTTCCACCCGGGACACAATTTCTTTTCTGATTTCTACTTTATATTTTTCTAACCAACTCCTTAACCCTATTGTTAGCTGTGCTCCAGGTGCAATGTATTTGCATTCTTCTATGAGATCATGGGATATTTTATCCAGCTTTCTTTGGAAAGCATATATATTTAACATTTCTCCTTAATAGGCTGAAAAAAATTAATTTCTTGGTTAGTACATCTTGCTTAAATTTTGAACTAGACAAATGATTTCTTTATGAAGTGTAGTTAATATAAATATGAAATGCATGAAACTAAATTTACAATAATATAGAAAATGAGGCTTCTATTTTTTGTATACATGTTATGGTTAAACAACAAATATGATACTTCAACACATACACAATCAAGTTACAATTTATTCCTGAAACTTGATTTCATAATTAAAACAGTGAAAGAAAACAGGTAGTAACATGATGTATCAAAATAATACAAATAGGAAAACACAAAGAACTGTACCTAGCTAAAGTTGATCATTACAATTCACAATATGGTGAATACATATATAGCGAAATGAACTGACATTTTCGCAATAACAACGCAATACACACAATATGTATTAAAGAGAAAGGCATCACACTAATGAGATTCGGAGGAAAAGACGCTTCGAATTTTCTCTAGAAGCACCACTTGTTATCATTTTTATAAGATCATGAATGAAATGTATCATTTAAAATGAACAATGTGTAAGAAATGGCGTAAACGAAGATTTACAAAAACTGTACGGTATAATTTTTGCCTCGTTAGCGTCGATTTAGAAAGAAAGCAAACTTACTTGGGCACTATCGACGGTCACCCAACAAATAAAACAATGTGAATGCATTACTAATTTTCCGTGCATCGTAAATGACAGCTACTAGTCGATAAATCACGTGATTAGAATTCCAATCACGTGACGCATTTTGCGTATGCGCGAACGAAATTTGATTTGATTTCAAACGCGTCGCTACAAATGCATTCGTATTTTCAAAAAAGAACCTGTACTTTTCTACTTCTAGCGCAAGATTAATACTGATTTTAATAACGATAAGCACCATTTTACTTGGTGACGTGATATTTCGGTAAGTATATCGGTCACGACGGGTTCATTCTTGGTTAGAATGTATTAACTTTCTCCGAAAGTGAAATCTCTCGGAGCGAGAAAGTTAATAACATCGAAATAATGTTTTGTGTGCGAATGGGTAATTCTTGCATCGCCTGGCACTATTTTTACGAATATCTAATATGCTACGAAATCCATTACCGATCATATTAATTTATATTCGCTTCTGATTGAAAATTAGATAAAAGGATAAAACGCATGGATTGTTTCTTAAGTGCATTACATATGCATACGTCGCGCGTGTAATAAATCTTTACAGATATACTGTTGCAAGGTTAAAAGCAACTTATATTTCCTTCTATTTATTCAATCGTAATAAAAACTTGTTATTCAATAAATAAAAAGAAAGTATTATCATACAGATTTACATAGACAGATCCGGGACTCGAAAGTTGCTTCAACTGAAAAAAGAAGAAGAAGAAAAAAAAAGAACTGGACCGTGAGTTCCGAGAAGAGATGCCAATAAAACTCGTGGACATTCATTTCGTGGCGGACCACGGAAGCATCAGCATCTCGTTCTCCGTTTCACACCACTTAAACTAATATCATTCAAACAACGTTTGAGAACCAAGTGAGTGATTACTTGATTATATGAATGTATTACGAACGATCACGCGATCGGTTTGTTACATAGAGTTATCATAATCCTTACAGTGGATAGAAAACCTATTACTTTCGTCACGATCGAGGGCGACGCGGGAGAAAGATTGGATAGAATGTTTGGTGTAAAATCCAGTTTCCTCAGAGTGGAACCAGGCAACTGTTTACTACCGCCGCACTTTGTTTTTTACGGGACCAAGATACGGGACATGGATGTTTACGATGACGACGTATGGATGGTATCCTACCCAAGGACTGGTAACAAAAAAAAAATTCAAATTTTCACTAATTTTCACCAACAGTGACGCTTCAAGATTTTACATATACAGTAAAAGTCGTCACTCAAGGGACCGCGAAATTTTGACGACTCTAACGGAGTAAAAACCATGTAAATTTTAAAATGACCAGGAAAGGAAAATGATGACTTATAGAGGGTTTACTGTATTATACTATTTTTAATTTGCTTTTAATATAGGCAGTCATTGGGCCCAGGAAATGGTATGGTGCATCGGGAATAATTTCGATTACGAACGCGCTCAAACTTTGTTGGTCATACGTAATCCATTGCTCGAGTGAGTTTCAATAGAATGATTTAAATAGATACTCCAGAAACAATTGTAACGCCTCGTTATTCCAGGGCTTCCGCATTGATGGTCTCAGGAGACTACGTGGAATGGTTTGCAAAATTGGGGGACTCGGTTGAGAACGTTAAAAAGATGCCACGAACTAGATACCTAAAGTCTCACCTGCCGTTGGACTTACTGCCACAGCAAATTCATGAAAAGAAACCGAAGGTACTATCAACTTACATCGCGTTGCGCTAACCTTTGTAACAATCTTCTATTACACGTGCGAATATTTCAGATCATCTATGTTGCTAGAAATCCAAAGGACACTTGCGTCAGCTTTTACCATTATTGCAGGAAGTTCCACAATATGAAAGGAAGTTTCGAAGAATTTGCTGAGCTTTTCCTCGACGACAGTAGTATGTAATTAATGTATTACTTGAATAAATAATTGAATAGCAATTACTGAACAAAATTACCGTTTAAGCACCAATGGGTCCGTTCTGGAGTCACGTGCTGAAGTTCTGGGAGATGAGGAACCAGGATAACGTGTTGTTTTTGACGTACGAAGAAATGAAGAAGGTAAAGTAGAAATGCAGACGAACAACGTGTAAAAAACTTGAGAAAATTATTTATTTTGTTAGAATCAAGTAGAAGCCATCAAGAAGACAGCGAAATTTTTGGGAAAGAACGTGACGGAAGAAGAAATAACGGGGCTTAGCGAACATTTAAAGTTTTCGAAAATGGCGGCGAATCCTGCTATAAATTTGGAGTCTATATTACCGCAGAAAGGTGTTTCGGACGATGACAAATTTCTAAGAAAGGGAAAAGTTGGCGATTGGAGAAACTACATGTCCGAGGAATTGTCCCAGAGGTTCGATGAATGGACTGAAAAGCATTTACGCGGAAGTGGCCTCGACTTCGATAAGGAAGTGGTCACGTATGAAGAAGAATAAGAATAGTTTATTAAAGTTTCTAGAATCAAAGGGTGCCTCTTTGCAAGATCTATGTAAAATAATTGTATCTCTTATAAATGTGTATATATATATATGTTTTCATATAAATGTGCTAGTGTTTATACTCACACACATTTGTATTTGTCTTCATTGAAGAAATACACCAGAAAAATGAAGGTGCGCGCGCGTGTGTGTACATACGTCACCTATATGTATATACTTAAACAATTATAAGACTCATTGTCATTACCATTTACTCGTTAATTATAATTATTGATGGACACATTTACACCTAACGAGAGACCGGTTTTCTATTAAAGGACACTTATTTTCCAGACTTGTATGGGTTTCTAATTTTGTGCGGATTAAACGTGGAAACAGAATAATGTGAGAACAATGGATTTTCGATAGAACAAAGTGTTGGCGCGTTTAATTTATTTGAAAGAACACGGGTGACGTGAATTTTATTCGAGAATCGCGCCTGAGTTTTAGTCGATTCTCAACGTACGACGTTGAATGTCAAAGCAAAGATGGCGTTGATTCGTGTTGTGTCAGGTGTTTAAAGTTTCCTTTAAATTTCATCGAAGTCTGACATTCCACGCGGGTGCGATACTTCGATTTATTATTTACGCCATTCTTAGCCCCGTCAAAGATCGTTAACTAAAAAAAAACGTCAAGACGTCTGTCAAGAATCACGTGTAATATCGGCCGCTAGTGGCATTTTACACTTAACCTTAGCGTTCATCCGATACTGTACGGTCGTCTTCGAATCTGACCAAAAATTCTGGTCAATTCACGTCAATGTTGTATCTCCTGTCAAAGAAAAGATCACAAATCTGCATTGATTAATTAGGAGATGATATGAACGGTGATCGTTAATGTTCTACAATAAAAGAAAAGTTTGAAAAGTTTTCGTAAACGTCGAAATTTGCGATCGCACTTTCGAACATTGTTTACAAGATAGTATATCATTCCTAAGTTGTCGAATATATTTATTTGAATGCTGGTAAAACTTACACCTGGGTGAAATGCCTAAAATAAAAACCAGGCAAGCGAATAGCCTCTGGTTAAGGCAACGCGAATTGGGCATCAAATTTCCCCTGGGACACGCTGATCGTTTTCATAAAACCCTTTATTCTTCTATACAACCTGTAACTTCTTGGGATCATGCATTGTCCGATGCTGCTCATGGTGGAGTTTTCAATCTTGAGTATTCGCCAGATGGGTTAGTATACAGGCATTATGTATTCCTTAGGCTTGATTCAAATGTTATGCGCATTATAAATATTTTACCGTTCATTGGTTTGCAGTTCTCTTCTGTTGGCAGCATGTGAGAAGAAAAGTATTTTAATGTTTGATCCTTTGAGGAGGAGATTAATTCATGCGATTGACAATGCTCATGATGATTGCGTCAATTGTGTTAGGTACGTATATGGATCAATTTCCAATCGGTAGCACATTCAGTGCTTGTAACAATTAATTATAATTTTAATTTACAACAGGTTTTTAGATCAACGTATGTTTGCAACGTGTTCAGATGACAGTACGGTAGCTCTTTGGGATGCAAGGAATCTGAAACAAAGGATAAGAACATTGCAGGGTCATTCAAACTGGGTTAAGAATATAGAGTATAGTCCCAAAGATAGTTTACTACTAACCAGTGGATTTGACGGTAGCATATATACCTGGGATATTAATAGTTTTACGGAAAATAGTATTCTACACACCCGCGTATTTCATACAAATGGACTAATGCGCACTAGACTTAGTCCGGATGCCAGCAAAATGTTAATAAGTACCACTTCTGGATACCTCATCATCATACACAATCTTAAGTTAAGCACATTAACTCAAGACTTGGCAGGATTTAGAGTGCGTTTATTTCTTAAATCGTTACTTTTTGTTATACACGCGATGACACGTTACAGAAACATGAATTTTTTATTTCAGCCAAATATGTACCGATTAATGCAGTCGTCTCAAACAACAATACCGAACGTGGCAAATTTCACGCATCTCTTTTCCCATTCTCGTACGCATAACAGAGTAGAATTTTTAACCGATTTCCCTGCCGGCGACGACGCAGAGATAATATCTAGTTTGCAAGTACATCCTCAAGGATGGTGTGCTCTGTCCAGGAACGTCAGTAGTGCAGAAAAATCTGAGGTGGATTTTACTCGTCCTTCAACGTATTCACTTAATTCGTACAATTGTTTTAAATGTCGCGTTTGTTACAGTGGACTTGTATTCACGACATACAAGAGCGTGACGTATCCGGCACAACGGAGCAGGGTAAAGAAGGAGAAGAAGCCACCCCTCAGTTTAACGAAGTAGCTGTAGACGAATTCGAAGATTTTCCACAACCACAATCCTCGCGTTCAGGTATAACATCGTCGTTCTTAATCGAAAGTCCGAACAATCGTGTCAGGGTAGTTCACACTACGTCCGATGCGAGATCGAATTCGATCGGATCCTCGGACAACGCGCAACCAGTTAGATCGTCGAGGAACAATTGGCAACCGACGTCTCGCAGAACATCACGATTGCAGTCGAGAAACTCGCGTTTGGACAGAAACGCATCGAGGACGAATTTTAATACAGTCGAAGCTGGTTCTGGTTCAGGTTTAAGCTCGGATTCACGAGTACCTGTGGATCGAGACGATAGACAGGAGAATAGATACATGTATGGGGCCGAGAATAATGAGAGCATACAGGAGGATGCCTCCAACGATCAAGAGAGAGATTCAGGTCTGAATTACTGGTTACCAAGACCGAACATACACCTGAACTACCTGAGACCACGCAATATGATAGATGACTTTTCTACCGGCAATATAGAGTTGCATGTAAGTACGACCGATGTGTGGGAAGCACACGTGGCGGTCAGAGAAGCTAGACTTCGAAGGGAAAGACATCGAGTTGCCAGATCGAACAACAATGCTGTGGTTATAATTGGCGATCGGATCAGAGTCCAGAATCGAAACAGGCAAGGTCAACAGACGATGTACGCTATTCCGAGAAATCGTATGATCCATCAGAATACACCTAGGTTAACGCATTACATCGAGGAGCCTAACGTTGGCTCTGGATACATCAAAGAGCTATGTTTCTCTGCCGATGGCCGATTAATATGTTCGCCGTTCGGCTATGGCGTACGATTGTTAGCGTTCTCTAGCGACTGTTCGGAACTGTCCAATTGTGTACCACCGTTTAACGAGTCTGTACAGTTGCACGAGCTAGCGACGAACGTTAGTCATTCTGGCATCGTGGTCAGTACAAAATTTTCACCTAGGCATTGTTTGCTCGTGTCGGGTTGCCTCGGTGGAAAGATCGTTTGGCATCAGCCGGTGGTTTAGTGAAATCTATTAGCAAATTTATTTGTTCATTTTCTAAGGATAGTCTTGAAAAGACATATACGACTTGCCGTTATCTCTTCCGTTGTCCTTTGTTTTTGCTTCTTTATTTTCTCTTTTAATCAAACTAGACAGTCTTACAGTGTCTAAACGAAGTTTTCTAAATAATATTCTTTTTGATGAAACTTATATTTTTTAACGTATCTTATGTTCGAGGTATGATTTAACGAGAATCGTTGATTCTTTCTTTTTTTTTTTATGTTAAACATTTTTTATCGAAGCACGAAAGATATTTTATACAGAATTACCTTTCAGTAGCAGTTTGAAGGAAGAAACAATCATGACGCTATTTTAAGTATCATTTTGGACAAAGAATTATCTAATAAGTTGTACGTTCGAGCAGCTACAGACAATAGATCTTTACAAATAGCAAATCGTTGCAGTAATAATTTTTACGGCCAGAGTACTTTTATTTCCCTTTGTATTGTCGTGGAACACGTGTAGGAACAAGGTGTTTGTTTGAATCATACATCTCAGAAACATTCCGCTTACTTTCAACTGTAAATACTCTTGTAATACTGCGATTTGCGTTTGTAAAAGCGAAACAAATTGAGATCGGAAACAATTGTGCGCGTGTATAGTTTTCTATTCTTCGTTAAAACTCGATTGATGCAAATGTTACATTTTTTTTTTTTAGTATCTTGTACATTTTATCTGGCAACGATCGAAAGAGCGGTTCAAGTTTTCTCTTAAACTCTTGTAAAAATTGAAAGCGGTGCAATAACATGTTAACAGAAACTCTGTGTTTCTCTGTATTGTTTGCAAGAGTTGTCTAATAAGTTGTAAAAATAAAGAAGGAAGTGTATTAAACAATGCGGAGTGAAATAATCGTTCAAGAAAGATCAACCTCGCTGAAGAACGTGTCTTTTGGCGTTGTCGTTAGTATTCAATTAATTAGCCACGTATCGCGTAATTAGTTGCTAAGTACTCGAAACTTTGACTGATTATCTACCAAATTTGTATCGTTGGCTCATCGAACGGGGCCTTCCAGTGATTGTTATCGAACTGCCGACACGTTTCGTGCCACCTCTCAATTGTATCGTAATGCTTAACGTTAAGTTCATTGCCATTGTTGATTAACTTTATAAATGAAAAAACATTATAAGCTAATTAGGAGGCACGAAACGCGTCGATAGCAACTAGAATAATATTTAAATGCACGAAGTTCCAAACGTCTAATCGCTAATATAAGGAATATTTGATGAATTATTCTCGACAGGCTCGTTTATACAGGTTGTTTGAAAAAAAAAGATGTATCGCCTAGTCGAAAATTGCAAAGAAAACATACTAGTACGGTTACCAATCGAGATACCAAGCTGATATCGAGCCCGAACAGGAGATGTAATTTTCTGAAAGCATCAGAATCGATAACATGTGAATTATTTACCAAATTTTAGCGACTGATTTGCGACTATCTTAAGCGAACGTAAGATTTAGGGACGTTCTTCGACAAGGAGAGCTGTTTGATCATGAAACTCGAGTGTTTCGTGGCGTACCTTAGACTCGTCAAATGGAATTTGTATCGTTAAGCAGAGGAGAGATCGTGTAACATATGTAAATACATCGTCGACTTAGAGTATGTAATAACGGTGTATGTAATAACGCGTGTATTACTTTTTAAGACGAAATCGAGCCAAATCGTGGCCAAAAGAGAAGCGGCCAATGTTTTGTGTGGAGTTTGTTAATTTTTTTTCGAGAGAGACAAGCTTGATTCCACGCTTTGGAGTCTCGATAGTTTGATAAAATGTTTCTTTTTCGATTCAACTGTAGTATTTCTACCCGGGATATTTTTTAACGAGATCGATCGGCGATCAATCTCGATCCGTCGACGAAATTGAATGCAATCGACCGACGGACACTTGCTTCGAAACGTTTAACAAGAATTTTTAACGACACATGATCTGCTAGTGCAGCTGAAGATTCGTCAGCGATTTCCTTTTCCATCTTTACCCGGGAAATGCGTGAACGTTCAGGGACAACCAGTGTATCCTTGCTTACCGCGTTCCAATCGACAATTGTGTTCAAACTAATTAGCTGAACCGGCTGATCGTCGCTCGTAACGTTCTTCTATTACAATTATACGGTCCTGTACAGTAGTTAGTGTGCTGATTGTTTTGTAAGATTTGTTTGTTTTTTCCTTTTTTTTTCTATACAATAAAATATTGCTTAACGTCTGACATGTGTTTTCATTGTACTTCCTTATAATTGTTATGCAATCCATTGTGTATCAATTAAAATCAGAGTTGTAAGAAGCTGTCCTCGTTGAATTCTCTTCTTGTTAATTATAAATTAGTCACAAATTGCTTTACCATTTCGGTTGAGTACAATATTGACATCATCCTTCCTTTTCCATACTTTTCCCGTTACCCTTCCTTCTAGTTCACCGCACAGAATAAAGAAAGGAACGTGATATCCATTACACAATTTATTAACAATCAACTTATGTACAAGTATATATAGTCTAGAGCACAACGTAGTTGTCGTAGCACGTAGAATGATAAGATCCTTCTTTCATGCACCTCGAGACTTAAAACTTACTTAGGAAAAAAAAAAAAAAATGTAACGAAGGTATATTGTACTCTTATAGAGTCGGAGATCCGATGAGCGTAAATGACACAAACTTTTTTTCCAATACTATTGCTCGTCTTGGAAGCTTCTCTCTCGTACGACAAAGGGACAAAATAATTCATGAATAAATAGCTGAATAAATAAGTAAACCATGGATCGGTATTTTGTGGTTAGTTATATTCCTCTCCCGTGTTATCGCGTCGATTACATTGTCTATTAATCCACAAAGTCACGTACATTTCGCGCTGAAACGTGGCAAACGTGATTAACCTGTTAACCTGGATTCCACTGAAAGACCTATAGAATCTAATAATGCAAATCCTGAAAGATTCTTGCCTTCGGCGATGTTATTACACTTACATCAGAAAGAAAGTACATCCTATTATTCATGGATCATTTATAAGACAAACTATTGTTACACGCGCAAAAGGCAAATAACCCTTGTATCCTGTATTCGATATGGCTATTTCTATCGTGACGATCAACGTGTTAAAAGAAGATCTCTAGTTAACAGGTTAAAAAAAGAAGAAATTATTCCTTGCAGATGGCTTGCATTGTTAGAACCAGGACCAACATCCTTTACCTCTGCCCCTGATGAATGACAAATATTCTTGAGGTCCTAATGGTCCCAGCATGTCAGAATTATTACTATTAGAGGAAATAAAAAATAGATGAAGTTAACAAAAATACTAACGAAACGAATATTCTCCAAGACAATGCTCACACCCTGAAGTCCCTAATAGAAATAATTCTGAATACGAAATCGTTGAATCTTCTTAACAATCCTACACACTCGGCAGCCAATATTTTCAAATGATATAATAAAAGACAACAGTTAGAAAGATGTATCCTAAATTAGCCATGATAGTTTCACCGGTACTGACGAGCAGAGAACTCGAGTTACTCTGATGATCGTGATGATCGTTGTGACTATGGCGATCGAGATGATCAGTATCAGAAGCGTTCGTTAAATGCACGTGTCCCTCGTGTGGAGATCTTTTCGATCTCATGACAAGCGTCAATTTCGTGTTCTTTATCGGGGTTGTTTCGGCCAGCAACGAGTCCTTGTACGATGGACGACGTTTCTCGAGCTGAGAACGAGCCTCTCCAGGGATCAAAGGTGGTAGTTCTCCCTTGAATCTTCCAAATTGCGGTGTTCTACTAAGCACATCCGAGGATAACGTGCTTTTCGAATGCTCTTCGATCCCGGAAATCGACCTGGCCAAGCCAGAGTCCTTCAGTCTCTTTCCGTCGAAGGTGATCAATACCTCTGACGAGGGTGAAGACGGTGATTCGTTGGTGATCGTGCTGGGAACCGGAGGCAAGTAATAAGCGTTCATCCTGTCGGCAGCCATTTCCATGTCCTCGACCTCGCCTAGACGAGGTTTCTTCTTCGATCTTTTTACCGTGTCCACGGTTGGGACAGGGGGTGAAGGTATAAAAACTGGCCCGAAATTGTCGTTAGGTCTGTGGTTCGTGGTTCCTCGAGCATCTTCTTCATCCGTTATATCGGACGATCTCTTCTCAGCAACGTCCGTGGGTTTCTCTAAGGTTCTAATGATTGGTTTGAAACCACTTTCGATCACTATGGAGCCTGGATCGAAGCCTGTGTTTCTGGCTGGTTTCATGGGAGTAGAGAAGAGGTTGGGTGCGTTCGTATCGGAAACTTTAGCCTCAACTTTGCTCCACTGTTTCGGGTCGACTTTCTTCAGCTTCGATATTTGAACATTACCGTTCACCGCGGATACTTTCTCTTGATTTCTTCTGTAAACGGGCGAAGCTGGGGCATAGACAGACTTCTTTCGTTCTAGGAAGACCGGTCTGGAGGGTAAGGGAAGACTTGGCTGTGGCATCGTGTGAGAGGTCTGCAACATGGGTCGACGAGTCATCATCGGTCTCTTGATCATCATCAGTTGATTCCTCTGTTCTGGCTGATAGTGATGGTAATGATGGTGGGGCGGTTGGTGATAAAGGTGGTGGTAATTGGTCGCGTAATGATGATACAACGGTCTGTTGGGATATTGGATCTGCGGGTTGCTGGCTGCCGGATAAGTGTATTTTGTCCCGTGGCTCATTGGTCGTGGGTTATCTGCAACGAGGTTAGACAATTGCTGGTTAGAGGCTTGACGAATGAAATCCGGCTCGATCTCCATGATTTGATGATGTCTGCCAGGATGGGAGGTGATCGGTCTATCGATTCCCATCGATTGTTCGTGATAGATCGGAGCTAGCTGATGATGATGATGATGAAGATGATTGTAACGATGGTAGTTCGGATGATGATGCTGTTGTTGCTGCATCGGATCCTCGTCGAGGTGCACGTGATGCATATCCTTCACGCGTACCTCGTGATTATGAGGCAGAACGCTGATGCCTGGCGTACTGTACGGAGAAGAAGGCTTCGAAACGAACGGCTCCTCGTACTGCGACGATGATTGCAAGCGGACGTAATTGTTGTTATTAGCGTTCGTTAGTAGCTGGGTGTATGGTGTGCTTAGCTTGCCGGGGTTAGTCGCTGGATGATAAGGAATACGAAGCCCGTGTTCACCGTGAGCTTGATGAAGATGCTGCTGAAGAAACTCCGCCGATGGCGTTACCTTGCTCGGGACACGGATGCTGGGGCTGTTCTCGAGATCCACGTTCGTTCGTTGACGTTCCGGCTGCACGAACACCTCGTGGTTCTCGCTGGCAGCTGTTTCGCCGGCGTCGCAGCTGTCGAGAACGTTGATCTTCCATCCCAGGTAACGGTGCGTGAAACACTGAACGTTCGTCGACGATCGTCAGTGTGATGTCCGAGATCTTCTTTCATAAATTTCAACTTCCACTTACCTGGTAGTAGACGGTGTCGGGGGTGTTCTTGTCAGGGGTCCATTCTACGATACCTGGGTCTCCATGATCGCATACCAGAGTCAGCGTGCGCTGGTAAGCACCAAACGAAGAGAAATCATCGGCGGGGGGTTGATTTTGATCCGGCACCCAATTGCACAGTCGACCGACACCCGTTGGTCGATACACGCCGCGTTGACGTTGAGCACCAGCGAATATTTTCACCTTCTTCTCAGTGCAAAGGAAAATAATCATCACTTTGAACATACCTCGTTCAGATACATTCTCATGATTAAAAAAAAAGGGAAAGTGACTTACGGCTTTCTCTTCAGGTGTTTTATGTTGGTATCCACCAACAGGGTCGTCAGTAATATAGAAGGGATGGTAACGAGCGGGTGTGTCAGGATCCTCACCACCTTCCACCACGAAAGTATATTTTGTACCTCGTACAACGTTGATTACAGGAATTAGTAGGCCATTTATGTACCACGAGATGCCCCAGCCGACGTGACCTAGGGAAAGCGAATCGTACCGGTTTATTAATTGTCTGACCAGTTTGCGTTATCGGTTTTCAACTCGTGTCGCATCGATTTCACCGAAAGCATCCGATTATTGAATAATAAACTTTCACCAGCGATTCTAAAACCCGATATCAGCTATGCGGTTTTTACGAGATTCGATTTTAGCCTTTCATCGACCCAATTATCGTACCGGTTATCGCAGGATAGCCGTGTTTTCCTCCGGTCGGTCCCATCTGAGCGTAAAACACTCCATCATCAGGTTCGTAACATTGAATAGGTGGAATTTCCCAGGCATCGTTTTTCGACGCTGGCGCTGGAGTTGCTGGTGCTCGTTGAGGTCTTCTGGTAGTTACAATCGCCACTGGCTGTTTCGTTAATTTTTTTCAATAATATTTCATTTCATCTCATCGATAGATTGTCGTTGAAACATAGTAAAACAAGGACGAATAGATTGTCACCTGATTTCCGCTGGCTTTATCTTCGTTGTCCACGAGCGTTTGCGAATGCTCCGGGATGGGACAATTCCAGACCGGTGGTCTACCAAAGTCGATGAAACGGTCGCTTTTCAGATAGTCCGTGTGAAAGCTGACCTCTAGCCTCTCGTTGAGAGGACCGATGGCCCAGATGATCGCTTGCGAGCCGTTTGTCAGGATTTGATGGTCCAGCTCGTCGTTCGTCTTCAGTGCTCTCTGATACGTGACAATACTATATCCGTCCACCAGTGCAGCGTTCAACAATCGAATGGAATTCGTGTTCTCCTGCAAAGCGTCGTTTCAACACGGTAAATTGAATGCAAAGCGTTCGGTAACAAAACGATTTCATCCGTTTTTCACGCGTTAACTGCAATCTATTAGACTCAGGAAACGTTTTGATCTAAACAAGAACGATCGTTCTTGAGTCACGATAAAAATATTAAGTACCAACGACTAACTTGTATGCGCGTGTCAGGGCAACTACCCCGTCCACCGGAACATTGCGACTTGGCGTCCAAGAAATAATCGACAGCGTATCCTTGAAGGGTTTGTTTATCGACCCATGCGACTACCGCGTCTCCTCCGACCATCAAGCTTCTGTTAGGATCCGCAGACAATCCGAATGCCATGTACTGTCCGTCCTCTGTTAGGGCATAGGCAGAGACAGGATTAGTGGGAAATCACGATGTAAAAATGACAGAACGCGTTCAAAGGGAGGCGCGCTAATTTCGGTGGTTCGTTCAGGCGAAATTTATTTTCCACGGGACACGGGGAATCGGTTCGGTAGGGTGGCCCTTAATTCATTAAGCGGTCGGTTTAGAACGCGATCGCGCGTTAATTAGACTGTGAAACGCGATCTTTTTCGCGCTACCCTTTCCGCAAGAGCGATTACACCTGGCGAAGGGTGCAAATAGGGCGCGTGATTGTTTTCTGGCTCCCTTTCATCGAAACCTTCTGGGAAAAAAAAAAAGTAAATATTTCGCCGGATCGACGAAAGTTCTGCGAACAACGAAACGGTAACGAGGCGGGAATGCGTCGTTAATGAAAAATTGGGCTGGATTTTCCGTTTCGTTGACGCGGCGATAAACACCGGTCAAGTATCGCGTTTTTGCGAGGGGTGCACGCGCGAGACAGCACGGTAACGTGTACTCACCAAGCTTTCCGACCAGTTGGGCGACTATGCTGTCTCCGGCCACGGCCCATCGCACCTCGAAAGCCAGCTTCTCCTCCAGAACTTCGCAGTTCAGTTTCGACTGAAATCAAACGACACACCGTTTACCATCGTTCACAACAGCAACATCGATTCTTCCCGATCGATCGAGCAGACATCGTCGATCAATCTCATTTCAACATCATCTCCTTCCACCATGGATCGTTGCATTTTCGAGGACTGCGCTAGATTGTAATCGAACAAAGGACTGGTGTTTCAAGAAAATATATATAATATCGTTTATTTTGTATCAATCTCAGGTAAAAACGTACAAATATCGATAGAAAAAATAATATTCTCGGTGCGTGTGAATATACATAATCTACATTTTTAATAATATATATATTTTATATATTATAATATGTTGGAAGCTGATGCACTTAGAAGGAAGAACTGGCCCAGGCTGGAAGGTATTCCCTCAGCTTTCTTTTTTCCAAGCGACAAGTCCTTCGTCTATTTCTGGCCACGAAACTAGTACTTAACCCTCTTATCACAGTCAAAAGCATCGCTTTTCCTTTCTTTACCGCTCGATTTTACAAAACTAATGCTTCTTCCTCTTCTTCCTCTTCGCTCGATCGTTGCTTCAAATTTACGCCTGAAATCAGCGCTACGGTAAAGCTAAGACCACCACGGATACCCTTACAATCGTATGATAATTCGCTCGCAAACGTCGCTCGATTGCTTGTAAACACAATTCCAGATGCGATTAACACGTTCACTGTCACACTGAAATTGGCCGTCCCTGGCAAGGCACGCTGTTATCAGGTTGTTGCACATCAAACGATTCATTTCGAAACCGTGAAAACACGAAACTTCAGCTAGTTTGGTAAATTCAATTAACAGAGATATTGAAAATTTTCATGTGCAATCACCTAATATCAATACACCTATATCTAGCTATACGGCCGCTCTTTATACGGCTTTTCGCTATAACGACTTTTTTAAATTATGGCACTTTTTCAATGTTTCGAAACGTTTCAATGGCCCACAATGTTTCGTTATACGGCAAAAAAAATGCTGTACTTTTATTTTTATAGGGAATAAAAAGATTAAAATGCTTTATGAACTAAAAACTATATTATTTTATAAAAAAATTGGAACAGATCCAATTGAATTTGTATGGGTTTGTACCAAAATAATTGATTCGTTATACGGCTTTTCGCTTTATGGCCAACTTTTCCGGAACGTATCTAGGCCGTAAAGCGAGGTATGGGTGTATTAGTATAATGTCGTTTGGATCAAATTTGTCCATACGCTTCAGAAACATCCCTTTACCATAATCGTACCAACAAAATAATTTTTAGACATTCTGCTTCGCGTTCATTTTTCTGTAATAAAATGAAATTTCAGATCAGCCTTTGTAGGTTCGCAAAACGTTTTCATTCCCGAAGCGTATAGACAAAAATTATTGTATTTTCTCTCTCATGTACGATCCTCTGAAAATAATTTATCAACTAAATACCAGTATTAAATTCTGCTTATCTTATCAGTTTGAATTTTGGATTTTCTTTGAATTAAATTCGTCGACGGAAGGGTTGCGACAGTTCTTAACGATTATTTCTCTAGCTGGTTCCGACGTGTACGCACGTATGTACGTATATTCTTGTTAGAACGGGAAGCAGATGAGCCGGGAGACAAAAACCGATATCGAAGTGTCGGTAATATCGACACATATTTCACGGGCAGTCGTAGAGAGAGGCAAACCGTGAATTATGGCGACTCGTATTGTTCGTGGAGAACGCGATGCATCCGGTTGTACGGGATGGGCGAGATTGTACGTCTCTTAGAATAGAATTCTAGAGGGGATTGGAGAGATTAAAGGCGTGCCTGGTAGGTATGTGTCCGTGGGACGGTCTGCGTCTGCATAGATTGCGTCTACTTACACCATGGATCCTCAATGTATACCATATACAGGCTGAATTTACTTTGAACCGACGTGCTGCGTTTCGAAACTAAACTACATCGTTCTTCTCCAACGCGATGGAAAAGGAGGATGGTGGTAAACGGTTAGATTTATGCTTCTTCTTCAACCAGATGATTCTGCTACTCTTGAGGACACATAGTCTAATCCTTTTCACTTCAAACGAATACCTGATTACCGTAGTTCCTCGAGGTTCATAAAATCAGGAAAGATGGATAATCATTTTTTGTGGTTTGTAAAGTTGATTTCATTAAGTGCAAGTTTCCTATTAGCAAGCTATGCTCCTCGTTTGCGGGTGTGACTGTGTGCACGTTTAGGAATAGTTGTGGGCAGTGGCGGCTCGCGTATAGGTACTGTGGAACTGTAGTAACTCCTATTTCCACTTGATATTATCGATAACATTTAATATAATGAGTCTTTTTTCTTTAATTCTTTCTTTATACCTGTACAATAGTATATAGTCCTTAAGCTTAATGTCAGTAGCATTCCCCAGTTTATGAAAAAGATACAAAAATCTTTGTATGGAACTGTGCGCTTCACAGTTCCAGCAGCGTGGCGTCCGACTGTGCGCGCATGCGCACATAGGAAGCTGCGCGCGAGGCTGCGCAGGAGAGAGAGCACTCGCTCCCACAGTGCTGGTTTTTTAAAACAAAGGTTAAAAATTTTCTGGAGCAGCAGTCTCACTAATTTTAGCTACGAGCCGCCACTGGTTGTGGGTGTAAAGCGTTGTTCAGAGATTCCTCTGTCTAATAGATGGTCGACGCGTGGTGTTAAATAAATAAAAGGAAAGCCAGAGTGTTCTATGCTGTAGCGTCTATGCTGTAGGTGGCAAACTTTCCAAAGTGGCTGCACACGATTAATACGTATAACTTCACGTATGAAGCTGATATTATCGCAGCTGTGCCACCTGTGTTTGCCACCTCAGAATCATCCTTGGTATACGCGATCGGCTTACGGAACTTTTGCGAATAACTCGAGTTTCGATTTCCTACGATAAATCTTGCTTCGACCTACTGATACACGATTTTTCAACGAAACCTGGGAACATATTTGAGAAAGAGATGAAGAAAGTTGTCTGAACACGTTCAATCGCAGAGAACAGTTGCAAAGAGCATCGCGTACCAAAGAGACGTCGACGGAAATTTCTTCCCTAAAAGCCTTGAAACAAGCACTAAGTTCGATGGTTCGTCAAGTTTGCGGCAGTCGGGGCTTGCATGGGGGTTTAGTAACGAACGAAAGAGTCTAGCCTCCTATCGCCTTGGTATCGCAATAGCCTCGAGTACGAGTTACTTTGGGGTTCGCCGGTTACTTGGACGCGCGATCTCGATCGTTCCGTTGCGGACGGCTGGTTGAAAGAAGTTGAACGAACGGTTCCGAGTTGTTCTTGATACGTGGACGAGTCGTCTAGATTCGAGGCATCGTCGTCGGCGTATTGCACGATCGCGGCCGATCTTCCAGTTTGCGTGTGATAAGAGGCAGGTTCGTGGCGGTGAAGCTGCTGCGCGAGAGGTTCCTGGATATGGAGACTCTTTGGTATTCGATAGTCGATCGCCCGGACCACTTGGACCTGATCTTCGCGACGGCTAATCGGCCGGTAAGTTGTGGGACGTTGATATTGCTGCTGTGTCAGCAACGCGGTCGCGAACGAAGGAGAAGGAGACGACGAAGAGGACGACGACGACGACGACGAAGCAGACAGCTCGTACGGATTTACCAGATCGAGCGTCTGTCCCTGCCCTCCGCGATGCACGTTCTGCAACACAAGGACAGAGACAGGGTGTTATGCATACGTCAATTAGGCTTTCGAAATTAAAGCTCGACCAAAGTTGAATATCGAAACGGGAAAGAAGTCGCCTCGTCGAAGAAGAATGACTCGGTAGGCAAAATCCTCGGGATATGTCCGCTGACAACCAGGTATCCGCTCAAATATTGACAGAGACAAATTCGACGTGAAACAATACCGAGTCTGTATCGACTGTCCTCGTGAAAGGCTCGTTTGTTTCTGCAAATTCGGCTGCATTCGATTGTACAGATACTCGAAACAGTCTTTGTTCCGGCAGCGATGTTACAGTTTGCTGCTCTGATCGAGTGAAAATTAAGCGGAAAGAAAAGAGGGATATCAGCCGTTATTAAAATCACTGATAATTTCGTCCAAATGAACGACGGAGAACGAGCGTGTTCCCGAGCCGACGACGGCCAGAATTATGAAAGTTCGCCAACGTAATCGCCCTGTCAAATGTCGACGGAAGATGAAAGTACGCGGTAGTTGGTTCCGGCCCAGGGAAACTTAGGGGACGTGACGCAAAAGCATCAGCTCGGCTAAAGACGATGCGTCGTAAGTCGTGAAACGTTTAAAAGCTTGCGCGAATCCCTTTACTTCTGTCTGTTCGAACGTGATTCGCATAGAAATTTTGCGGTATCTGTGCAACTAGAGAAAACTTGTGTATGCACTTTGTCCTTATCGTTCAAATAAATTTCAAGGCAAGCAAAATATGTTTTTATCTTCCTTTTCACCTAAACACGTTGATCGGTAGACGATCGTCTAAGATCGTTACGCCGTGTCCTTAATGTTTTTATCTCTACCGTGGCAATCAACGTGTTAATCAGTTCGTAACTCGTTCTCATCGCGAGAGTTTCCGGAAGGTTGTTCGGTTCAGCGTAGCAAAGGGGCTATCGCGTTTAAAAGGTGGAAGCAGCATGGTCGGTGACTAGAGGATGGCTTTCCAGCTTACCTGCGGCGAGACTCCGAGCATCTTAAGGGACGGTGGCACGTTAAGATTCTGCGGAATTTGTACGTGGCCGAAGTCGACGGTGAACGCCTCGCACCAGACGCCAAAATGGCCGATCTGGTGGATCGTTAGATCGCCAGGTAGCGTCAGCACGATAGCCTTGCGATCGTATCGACGAAGAGGAACCTCCTTGCCGTTCTCATCGGGCACTCGAATACCTTGGGGCGACGGTGTTGGACCGGCTCCCACCCAAAATTTCGCGTCTGCGAACAAAAATCAAAAGATTCGTCGATGTAGATAGAGAAGGAATTGTTGGTTTTATCGATTGATTTTAGGAGCAACTTACCAGGTGCTTCGCCATCGTAGCTGAAACTTGGTATCAACAGGGTTTGGGCATCGACTACGACGATCGGTTCCGAACTGACCCCGTGCACTCCGCTCAATGCCGCCAATTTCTGAGGTTTAGGGTAATCGAATCCTCGTGGTATTCTGACGTCTCCGAAATTCACCTATGAAGCATCGAGATTCCAAAATAAATTTCCCTTAAATTAGCAATATCAATAACCGATGGAAAATAAGAAAACAAGAGATAAATAAAGGCATCAAAGAATGAACGCAACGTAAAGTTTTCCACGACCGTGACTTCCACAGGGCCGTAACTTTTAACGATACCAGCATTGCCTGTTCAACGGCTAGTTCTCCAGCTCGTAATCGGATTTTCAATTTCTCTTTTCTTTCCCCCCCCCATTCGAAAAGTTTCGTAAGAGGTGGTCGGGTCCAATTTGTCGGGACATTCGGTGTCGGTATGGCATCGAGCCAGCCGTACCGATTACTTTCTATCTGTTGGCGGGTTCGCAAGCACGCGCCTCCTACTAAACCGCGAGCGTGAAAGTTGCGCGGCAAGGAAACGATACCGGTTTCTGTATCGCGATAGTGGAATCGAAACAATGTCCACGTCGAAGGTCACGAGCATGATACGTTTGTTGCTTACAGCGTATTCGTCGCACCATACGGCGAACCATTTGATGTTGTTCAGGGTCTTGCCTTCCGGTAACGTCAGGGTGATGCTCTTCCTTCGATACCGCTTTATCGTTTCCGCCCTGTCAGACATTCGAAAAAATTCTCTTTTACAACACTGAATCTTCTCCTGATTAAAAAAAATGAATATTTCAACTACCGATGCAAAGAGAATGTTCTATAAGCTTCGTAGGTCTACGCGCATCGTTAATATAGTTGTACTTGTGACATTAACAAGTTAATGCTCCTAAGGCATGTAAGATAGATCATCCTGTCGAGTAAATAGGATACAAAAAGACACACTTACGATCCACGCTCGTCACGAAGCCTGATTCCATTACCATTAGGGGTCTTGGTATTGCCGACATAGAAATAAGCGGCTGAAACGAGATAATTATACATTGTAGTCGTAGCTAATCGCATAACTACGTTAGATCGCAATTAATATCGCGGTTCTTTCGTACGACTTCTTTTTTTTTTCAATTGCAATCCGAAACGATCGCAGCGAACGCTTTCGATTTTAATCGAGCCGTGCAGCAGACAGGAAAGCGAGAGTACGCCGAGTGAATCGAAAGCAAGAAGCGTGAGAATGCAACTGTTTATCCGTAAGTCGGACACTTAACGAATTCAGAATCATAAAGTTAACACGTTGAACGCCATGGGGGTCACCGGTGACCGGCTTCGCAATTTACATACGCCTGAATAATTAAAAGAAAAGAATAGAAAAACATTATTCTAAGTAATATTTCTATGGTAAAAATAATGTGAAATGGCAAATGGAAAGTTTGAAATTTGAAAATTAATTATCCCATAAAAAATGCCCAATTTCACTATGGCGTTCAACGTGTTAAAAGCAAGAGTCATAGATCCTGTGAAGCAATGTTTTCGACGACAATCGATTCACGAAGACGCATGCCTCGAAATAGGAAACTTTTGTTCGCGCCACGGATATCTATGCGGGTGTACGGGTTTCTTGGTTACGAACTTGGCGCTTCCCCGTCGTATGTGAAATCCTTGACGAACAGAGTTCGCCCGTCCACGGCGTAAACTTCACCGCTGACGCCGTGATGAAGTTCCGACAGCTTGCCGATAAGCTTCCCGTAATAAGCTCCGCTGCATACCTCTGCGAACACAATCGAGTTCAATTAATTATCGTGGATTAATGATGGAACGCGGTAAGGGGTGGCTAAAGTTACTGGAGGGATCGTTCCTTGGACACTTGTTACTGGATAGTTCCGGTTCGTGCATCGAGGTTCGAGAAAAAATTTGAAATTCCCGAAGAAGATGATATTTAATAAAAAGGAGGCTCAAAGTTTTTCAGCCAGACGTAAGCGAAGGAATATAACATTCTGATCGTTGATTTAACAGGATCGATAATTAAGCGTTTCTTTAAGGAAGATCGGGAAACCGGTCGGGCGCATAACTAATCGCCGACAGTGGGAATAATAAATTCCTCTCGGTGTGGATTTACCGATTACCTCGAGGATCGATTTCGTCAAGCAGAACGGATCCCCGCGAATCGTGAGGGTATGCGAAAAGCGAGTTCCTCGGATGCTTGCAGGGCTCTGCTGCTATCGCGGCATGTGGATCAGATCGTGTCGCACGAGATCGAGGAATGTTAGCCATCTGGTTCGAAGTTGATCCGACAATTTGCTGGTTACGAGGCTCGTGTAAAATTCTGCTCGAAAGAATTCCACGATCTTCGTCATAAATCAGGCCCGCTCATCAAATTGTCCTACGTGGAATCCAACTTTCTACTCGAACGCGGAAACTATTCTATCAACTATCCATTAGGGCAACTGATTTTAACCACGAAGAATGAGAAAAAGGAGAAAAGAAAATGATGAGTTAGCCCTGGAATGATCGAGAGAAGTCTAAGAAGGATACGCGGAGGTCGGTGAACGATCACGCAGGAAGTTTGTCCATCAGCGTTCGAACGGTTAGAGATCAGGGTTAGAATTCGCATAAATATGCGGTGAATCGAAGGCCAATCCCGTGTTTAAGCGAATCGTTCGTTAGATGCTAACGAATCGAGGGAACCGGTCGACGATCAGTGTCTAACCCTTTGATCGAACGCGTACCGTTATTGCTATCTCTTCAACGATGGACAGGATATCGTCCATCCGACGAGATTGACGCACGATTCGAGCATAAATCGTGCGCGTTCAAGGACCTGCACACGTTAGCTGATTCGATGGAAAAGCAGATGGGAAAAATGGTGGTGATCTGAGAGGAAAATTAGACGGTATACAGTAGAACGATCCGTTCTACGAGGTTTCGTGGTGCCGTTAACTGTCGCTGGTAATCGGTGATGTAACGTATGGGATACAGGATAGGACAGCGTGTACCACTTTGTTCTATCTCCTGGTATTTGATAATTGGAGAAAAATACATTTGTTACGGTGCACGTCCGGATGGATCGCGGCGAGTATATACATTCTGAATACGGTTCAACCGGTGGCGGGAATCGCTTCGAACGCGTACAATTCCGATAGGTAAATCGTGTTCCTCGTTGGCGAAAAGCTAGTTTCATTTTTCCGGGGATGCAGGAATTCTCTTACGTAACGATCGGTACTAAAATTACTGCTCCAAATGTCAGTGAATTAACCAGAAATTAGGTACCCTTTCCAGTTTAGTTTTTGCGAGGAGCGTCAAAAAGAAAAAGTCCACCGTCTCTGAAACCCGTAAGCCTTGTTTGCAGATTACAGGATCAGGAAACAGGTGGAAATATTAATTACCGCGCGATCATTTCCGCATTTTAATCATCCTTTAAACTTTCGATCCTTCATTTTTCTTTTCCTCGATCGAAACGACACGTGTCGTTGAACGTTCCCTTTCCATCGATGTACCAGCGTGGGTGCATGCTGTCATTAAGTCGCGACGTGTAATCTTCGAGAGGAGTCTTGTCATTGATCGAGCGGATCGGCGTAAACACGCGTAACGAGAATTACATGCGCAGCAATGGCCTGCCGATTCTCTATGGAGAACGCGGCTACTGCGGCGCCTTTAATCAACCAGCTGCTTGATCGATCCAGCTTTCCACCGGCTCGTGTTTTCCCATTATTATCTGCATTCGCGTGTTCCGCTATGAATCTTACAATAGTCGAGGGGCAATCACGTTTTACGAATGAGTTTAAGACTTGAGAATTGATTATAGATTAGAATTAAGTGACCCACACTTCTAGAATGAAATGACAAAGGATCCTCTGGCTGACTTGTTTGTTGCTAGAACGGGTCATCTCCACAGCTTAATTAATTCAAGGCGCGTTCGTTTGATCGACGGTGATTTAAAACTGGTATCCGTCTTCTAACGGGACGCTGGTATTAGGTATAAAAATCAGCATCCCCCGTGCTATAATTTAATCGACGAGACGTTCGATTCGAATATGAGATTAGAAATGATTTTAGGTTCTCTTAAAATTTTAGAGGGCTCTTGGTAACTCTTTTCGCGCATCCGAATATCATTTTCGAACACTTGTCGTTAAGGATATATCCGTGAAAAATGAGCGTGAAACGTTCGAACTGGAGCATTTAAACGATCCTCGGATCTGAATTTTACAGCCATGGGAACGTTCCGGTGAAGATAAGAATGAATTTCAGCCGCGGGGATATTTTCATAAAAATCCGAACGCGAAGTTCGGACTTGGCTAATATTTAAAACATGCAAGAATCTGGATTTTTACCATAGGAATGTTTCGAAGAAGAGAAGAGCGAACTCCGTCAAATATTCGAACGCTAGTATCAACGCGACGATCTCGCGAATGTAGGACATAGTCGCGTATACTTTGGCGTCGTTGGTTAATTAATTAATAATGAGAAGTCGAAGCGTCAAAGCGTCGTCGGTTTCCAGGCTATAAAGGATGCATTACGGTTGCGAACCATTAGCGAATAATTATCGCCGCGGTAACGACACCGTGGAATGTGATTAAATTGTTACGAGCGTGATTCTCGATCCGACCGAGTCACGAGCACCGTAAAAAAGGCTACGAGTATCCGGAAGCTTTAGCAAAGTAATCTTATCTAGAGGGTGGCATGTGTAAAAGGCCCAGGGCCGGCCCTAGGGCCCCCATAAGAAGATTTTGCGTCTAAGAATGCAAGAAGAGTAATGTTTACTTGAATACTAATCGATGTAAATGCAAATCTAAATTAGATATACAAGCTTTAATGTCAATTTTATAAATTTTATTTGAGGAAATATTTACAGGACGGCACTGGGTCTAGGCAGAATAGGCGGCACCCTAAGGTCCCCATAAGAAGATTTTGCCTCTATTCTAAGAATGCAAGAAGAGTAATGTTTATTTGAATATTAATCGATGTAAATGCAAATCTAAATTAGTTATATAGGGTGTCCAAAAAGGGTATCGGGAATTTGATAAATGAATAAAACAAAAAATAGTAATAATTGAATTGGTTGTTTCTTATTTAAATAAAATCATTGAACTGGAGAGTTATTTAGAAAAGATTATGTTATTCCTCTCCTCTAATCTTGTACGAAGATTAGCAATAACGCGTTGACACATTGTTCTTGGGATTGAAGCAATATTGTGCTTCGATTGTTTTCGTATACCCTGTTTTTAAGGTAACCCTATAAAAAGTAATCAAGCGGGTTAAGATCAGGGCTCCTTGCAGGCCGATTATTGTTGCCTCTACGAGAAATCACTTTATTCAGGAATAATTCGTTCGCAGCTTCAATTGACTGGTCGGAAGTATGGCAAGTGGCCCCATCTTGTTGAAACCAAATGCTTAACATTTCACAATAACGGTCACTATTCACAGTGAGATCTTCGCGAAAATACGGTCCAATTATGCCATTACCAGACATTGCAGCCCATACAATGACCTTTGGACTATGGAGCAGTTGTTGTTGCTTCCGTTCAGGATTCTATTCTGACCAATAACAGCAATTCTGTTTAATCACGTGACCATTTATGTGAAAGTTTGCTTCATCACTAAACAAAATGTTTTCAATGTTGTCGAATCGCTATAGCATTTCATTGAGAAAATTTAATCGAATAGCATGATCACTATCTTTTAGTGCTTGAACTAACTGAATTTTATAGGCTTTGAGATCTAAGTCTTTCTTTAAAATTAACTGCAAAGATGATTTTCTAATTTTTAGTTCTTGACTTCGTTTGCGGATTGATAGTGATGGATTTTGACGAACTGACGCCCTTACTTTTTCGATCGTTTCTTCATTTCTTGTAGTCCTGTGTCTTGAATTTTTACTATTGAGTCGGTGGTTTTAAACATCCGAATCAATTTTCTAATGCTATCGTTGCTCGGTGCGCTACGTGAATGTCATTCCGCACGATACGAACGTTAACCAGTCACCATGGAATTATTGTTTTGAATACGATTCCATTGCAATTAAAATTCCATGCAGTGGTGCGCACTTGTATCCCTAGCCCGCACCCTTCCGCTGGCCCTGAAGAACGTCAACTCACAAACAAAACCCTGCTACTCTTTTCGGATACCCTGCACAAGCTTTAATGTTAATTTTATAAATTTTATTTGAGCTACTTTTTTTGTGTCATATATGTGAAGGAGCCCTTTTTCGGAGCTCCTGAAATCTCAGGGCCGGCTCTGAAAAGGCTCTTTTTATATTTTTCTCCAACAGTTATGCTACTCGAACTTTTACAACCCCTATTACACCGAGACAATACGAGACACGTTCAGAAATGTTTATTTCCATTGTTTTCCTGTTCGTCGTCTATCGCGGCGTACGTTATGAGGAGCCCTGTATAATACCTTTGACATTTTCATAGGAAAGAGAAAGCAGAGAGGCGGACAAACGTAATTGCCAAGCCTTCTCTACATAATACAACTCTCCAGCTAATGTCGCAACGTGTGTACCTACGTATCTCTGATAGATTTGCGGGTATAACAAGAAATAACGTTAAATTCGATGGGTAGGAATTTCGCTTGGAAATTGTATAAAAGATCCCCTTTGATTGGAAACGTTTGCGTCGCGACAACGTGCTTTATATTCCTATCGAATCAAAGTGGAGAACGCTTCGAATTCAATGAGCGATAGAAATATTCGAGTGGCTCAGCGAAACGGTGAACTTCGGAAATCGGAAACTTTAGATTTCGGTTCGTCAACGTTGAACAGCATCGAGAGCCCGGTTCCGAGAGAAAGAGGTTTCATTCGGGATGCTCGATGGAAATCTGGATTGCTTTTCTTTCATCAAACTTTGAATCGAGCTGTTCGTTACAAAAGAAATCTGTTACTCTTTGTAACAATCCGAATCGTTACGATAAATCAACTGTTTGAGTAGGAAAACTTTCCGAACCTTGAATTTCGTATACGCGGCCGGCGAAGCGAAACGTGCAACGACCGTAAAAGGGAGAACAATTTTTATACGGAGTGTTAAGTTCGTGTACGATTAGACGCACCGACACCCGTATCTGTTGACAGAATCTGGATACGCGTTCCCGTTTGTTACACAACGGTGAAACATAGAAATGTTGGTACTGTTTCGACACCGCTGCGTCAGATCGAATATCGTAGTCCATCGTCGGTATTTTTCAATATCGATACGATTCTATCAAACGATCGTATAAAGAAACTGGAGGTGTGCGAGTACTCGTAATTTATAAGTCGAGCTGAACTCGCCTCGATTGTTCGCTTGAATTTGCCGAATTACTCGAAATCGACGAACTGTTTGACACCTACACGTAGAGGTGTGCCGAGAATGTCGAATAAATCGAGTACTCGAATTTCGAGTGAAACAATGATCGGTCGAGCCGAGTCGAGCGCTTGAATTTGCCGAATCACTGAAATCGACGAATTATTTGAAACAAAAGCGGGCTACTCGAAAAAATCGAACTGATTTTCGAAATCGAGATGAATTTTCAGCTCGAATATTCGAGTAGCTCGCTTTTGTTTCAAACAGTTCGTCGATTTCGAGTAATTCGGCAAATTCAAGCGCTCGACTCGGCTCGCGACCGATCATTGTTTCACTCGAAACTCGAGTACTCGAATAAATCGAGTACTCGCACACCTCTAAAAGAAACTTTGTGAAAATAACGATATTCACGTCTGTCTTAGCCGTCGATCCGTGACACTTTCGCGAGTCGAGCGTATAAATCGGCCAGAGTTTCTTCTTGGAATCGTTACGACCGTGTTTTTCCTTTTCTTTCTTTTTTCCCATCCGCGAATCTGTTTCTCCTCTCGGATCGTGACGATTGCCAGAGGAAAAGCTAGGAACGCGAAAGTCGTGGAGAGTCGGGAAACAGACCGGCAAATCGAGACGTCGAACGAGTTTGTAGGATCCTTAGCGCCGTCATTAATTAGCTACCTCGTACCTTTTCACGCATACGTTTCTATCTTTTCTCCGGTATACTTTGCGATTTAAAAAACAAAAAAAAAAAGAAAAAAAAAAAAACGAATTACAAAGGTAGCTTTGTTAAGTATGCGTGCGTTACAGTCCAGAATTGTCACAGTTCGATTCGCCGTTAAATATCAAAGAGTGGAGAAACTCTGTTGCAATTTCCCGGTGACAAGCGAGAACGTTCCGTATTTGACAGGTTACACTTTGTTTCACGCGTTAGCAATAGCGAGTTACGCTTTGCAGCTACTGTTCTCTCTGGACCGGCTCCACCGTTGACACGTTTTACCGTTTATTTACACGGAATTTACACGGGAAATGCCGTGGTAGCTCGAAAATTGACACGTTTTTCATTTGTAACCGTGTGAAACATTAGGATACGAATTTCGGCTTTTCCTTCGATAAACGAGACAGCTAGAGTTGTTTAGAACACGCCGTTTCCGCGATATAGCCGCATACTTCGTAAATACGCTCCCCAGTGAACAATTCCAGTTGCAAACTTTCCTAATAACGCATCATAGTTGGTAGCGTACAAAATACCATGCCAAAATGGTACAGCCAAAGATTTCGCGGTCGTTAAAGCTGAGACTAAGCGATTCCTGTTTATCTTCGAAGCTATCGCGTTGAATTAATTCCTACCTGAGGAGTTGTCACGTACGGAATATCAGAAGAATTTCGACCTAATTCGGGCTTAATTTTAGAATTGAAAGTGCGTTTGTGATCTGTCTTTGGAGAGTGTATATAGTAGACGTCCTTCGTAACGAAAGGGTTAACCGATCACGAGGACACGGAATGGACAGCTCGAATCGGGTCGAATATAAGAAACATGAGGATTGTACTTTCTAAAATAGAGATCGATCTGATTTTAGCCGAATGAAACTCACGTGTGGCGAGAAGAATAAAAACCGCAGCAACTAGAAGAGCGGTGGATAGCCGCGTCGAGGACGATGTGGGTGATGGTGCGGTCATGGCGTCTTCGTGGTTACTGCCGTCGAAAGTGGCCGTCGTGGATCCAGGTAGCTTTGTCGATCCCACTACGATCACTGGCTCGCCTTGCTTCACCTCGGCGGTCTCTCTTTCTCCTCGCCTCTCCCTTCTGCTCTGCTTGTTCCCTCAAATCCGTCATCGAGTCTTGTTTTTTTTCTTCTTTCCTTTTCATCTTTCATCTCATCCCCCCTTGTATCTAATCCTCGATCATTTTAACCCTTTCGAACCGGTAGCATCGTTTCTTCATTAATATCCTACTCGAAGAAACTCGGGACACAATGACAGTTTGCGATTGTAATTATCAGTCCATACAGACAAGGTCGACTCTTTCCTGAAACGCCCCCCATTTCCCTTTCTTTCATTATACCCTGCCTCGATCCGTGTCCTTCGTCGTTCGAATGGTCATCAGACCGATTCCTACTCGTACCAGAAGACGGGCTCTGTCCTTGAAAGGAAAACAAAGAAAGCAACGCGTAATTCAACGCGGATGAAGTAACGAGCATGCTTTTGTCTGCATTCCTTCCCTCTCCGCGCGGTGTCCTTATTTCGCTGCCCTCTCGACACCCGCCGCGACGAATAGGAAACGAGATCATCCAGGGTGGAGAAGCGGAGGAACGCGGTTGCAATTTACACCGTGAAATCCAGCTCGGATGCTGGTTGCACGAAATCTAGCAGGCTAATAGCTGACACCGACTCGACCAAACGCTTGAAAAATTGCTTCACTTTGTTTCGCTTTCTTTTCCCTCCGGGTTATTGTTATCGTTGAAAAGCAGGCTCTTATTAGGTTGGGAGGGTCAAAGGTTAAATCCACCCCCGAGATCGGGGCGCCAGTGCGCCAGGGGTGGAGGGTCCCATGTATTTGCTTCGGCAGTACATATACTAAAATTTGAAGGATGACACACAAAATCGTGAAGCATTCCACATTTTTCGGAGGGGCTATGGTGTGTTCATCAGAGGTCCCAGGGCCCCTCTCACTGCGTCATGAGGTGGACCGACGTGGGGTTTTGATCGGTAAGAATCCGACACTACCCCCGTGCCGACAGGGCGGGGGTGTCTTATGCAAGATTTCCCCACGTAAAAAATAAAGAGATAGGGGGTCCCCGGGGCCCTCCCTATAGTCCCAGTGCAGGCCACCGTGGAGGTTTCAGTGGGTAGAAATCCCACATTACCTCCGGCACCTCCTCAGGTGGGCTGCTGTCTTCCGAAGAATTCCTCCACGTAAAAAAAAAGAAAATAAAAGGCTCTTATTAGGTTCTGGGTGCAAACGTTTCTGTAAGCTTGATGCTCGATGATTCTTCTAAGAAAATAAGCAATGGTCGGAAGTTTTGATTTTTCTTCGGGAGGTTAAAGTTGATCGATCCATAGCGAATAGCTTTTAGAGAGGAAACTTTTCTTCTCGTTCACGGTGAACTGTGGAATTCGCATAAAGAAGCGTGTCGGAAACTGCGAACGTTTATGGTTCATTAAAAGCCTCGTTTTTCGGTAACTCGAAGCACGTGGAAACTTTTATAAAGGCAACTTCACCCGGCGAGTATTTCGGCGATGTGGCTCGACAACCAGACGAAATTAACATTCTTCTAAAACTTTGGATATAATTGAAAGCTTTCTCGAAGCGTCGTACACGGTAGATAATGTTTCGGGAAATTACCGAAACGTCGAGTGCCAAATTCGCTGTAATTGTAAGGAAACTCGTAACGATACATCGTTAACAGCTGTGGAAGCAAATGAAATAAGGAAACGCAGGAAAAAGAATATGAAAATTCCTTCGTCGTAAAGTATCATTAGCGATCGAAGGACGCGAAGGACGAAAATCAAAGAGGCGATTGAAAAGCGCGGATGATCGAAAGGAAAGGCGGATCGTTTGTCGCAGGTGCGATTCTTAGATAGACAGAAACGATTACACGCGTCAGTTGGTCATTGTCTTTTGTAACAATGACTAGTTACATTTGTTAAGGGTCTGGGAGAGCACGGCGTGGCAAAGATAATAGGTTCCACGTGCCGTACACGTTGCAAGGATCCCTCTTCCTCGTCATAAGCACTCTCTCGTAGCCGTGCGATTAAATTTAATCTCGCCTACGTTGCGAGTAATAATTACGGAATAATTATGAGAACGGTCTTTCGAGCCACGGTGTCGTGCTCAAAAGAAACGTTATTACGGAATTACTACCACCGATTACTAAGACGCTTAACGGGAAGCTTTTTTCTTTCCTTCCTTCTTTCTTTCCTCCATTCACGCGTTTAATCACGAACAGAAATATTTCTCTCTACGAAATTCGCGTCGCTTTCATGAAATATTTATAATATATTGAAACTTTAAAATTAGGATCCCGGTTCATCTCGGATTCGTCCGTTTTGAATTAACTCGTCGCAAATTCAATTAGACTGTTCAAAAATATTTTTATCATTTAAGAAACGCTCGGTTTACCTAACTGGACATTTGCATAATTCATGCAGGAAACGGTGTGTTTTGATCTATTGCAAAATTTTTTGACGGACGGAGCAAAATATTTACAGAAACGGATGCACTTTCGAGAGTATACCGAGCGACTTTTTTAACAAGTACGTGGAGGGAAATACTTTCCGGACGATCTAATACAAAATCCGATGTTATAAAGATACGCATTAGCAGATGATGGTTATTGTTAGAAAGCTTCCCTGTAAATGGAGGCTCGTTAAGTTACAGGATTTCGTGGTGTAGCTTGCTCTCCATTCTTTCATGGCTGGACTGGTATGCGGGCCGATTGTGTACCAACAGAAACCAAGAGGTTTCTGTCTCAACCTAGAAACCGCCTTCTGCGCCTCGACGACCCTCCACGAGAAAAGAAACACGAAAGAGTGGTCAGTAATTAGTAGACTGCGGATATTTATGCAAATGCGTATCTTTGTAGAAAACAGCCAGGGTGATGAGTCAGTAAATTTATAGAAATTTATGAAAAACAATTTTCGTTGGACAGATTAAAATTTTCCTTCTTTTCTGACCCTCTCGATGATCAACGTGTTAAACAGAGTAGAATCTCTGTTTTTTATTACAAATGACTCGGATTCTCTGTGAATGGACGGCAAAACAGGGGAGTCAGTAGGCTCGAGTGGAAAGTGAAATCAGTATTGCGGAAAGAAGGTTGCTCGTAACGTGTAATCAAAAGACGTCGAGTAGCATTACGGTATGCTTTTTTTTATCACGGTTGCACCAAGCACGGTGTAAAAAGAAGAATCAAACCGTCTTTGAGATATTCAAATAGCATTTTCCTGGGAATACGAACATTTCTACGAAGGGTACACGTGTACCTTGATAAATTGTTCCGCTCGGTTTTTCGTATACGAATTGAAACTCTATGACGTTTTGCCGGCTGCGTACGTAAGCATTCAACGGTTTCGGTGGCAAAGGATGGATAATTACGGCCGACAGCAATTACTACGCTCGACCGTGTTTCACTTGCACTTGGCCATGCTTATTAGCGGAAGTTAATGAGTCCGGCCGATGAGTTAACGAGAGAAAATTGTTTTGACGAACGCCACCTCCTACCCCGCTTTCCTCGTTTCCGCTAACAATCAAGTTGATTTTCTAATCAAATGGAAAACGAAAAAAAATATACAGTCGGAGGCAAAAATAAGCGGACACTGTTCGAAATAGAATACCTCGGTTAAAATTGGACTAAATAACTTGAGGTTTTCTGAGAAGGTATAAAAATTAATTCACTAAGAAATAACAATTTGTTGAAATCGTGAAAGAAAATAGTGAACTTTTTTATGCGAGTCTATAATGAAAATTTCATCGAGGTCGGTCAATGCATTTAAAAATTACAAGTAGGGGAAGGTGGGGCAAGACGGGGAGAAAAGACCTTTCTTTGTTTTTTATTTATATATATTAATAAGCTGTAAATAATTGACTTTTGCCTTATATAATCTATAGATCAATTATCAAAGAATAATAAAAAATTAAAGTGGATTCATTAATTGGACAAACCTGTGTTTTATTCATTAATAAACCTTAACTACCCCGTCTTGCCCCACCTGCCCCTAATTAAAATTTCCAAAAATCGCGACTTTTCATCTAACAATAAGAACACAACTAGTCACGTTCTTAGATGAAAAGTCACCAGTTTGAACAGTGTCCACATATTTCTGCCTCTGACTGTACGTTAAAATATTACGAACTATTTCAAAACATATGTATCCGACATAAAAGAAAGTAGATGCCACCGAAATTGGCGATTAAAAATAAAATTGCTACCTGTTAGGACTTCCGAGAAATTCGTCGCGGTGGTCACCGCATAGACCGATCCGGATTAATCGCAAAAGGAAGAAACTTTCGCAACGAGATTACGTAGTCGCGTACAAAAGTGAAAAGAGGGGATTCGTTCGATTCGGAGCTGCAAATTCTGCATGGTGGATTGATTGCGAAACTCAGAAGAAGAAGAAAAAAAAACAAGCCATTTCAGACTCTTCATTCACTCGAGAAGCGAAATAAGAAAAGAAAATGACGATTGGACGTTTTTTCTCGTTTCGTAACAGGTCCATGATGACTCGTTTGGTGGTACGCAACTGCGGTTAATCGAGACGCGTGAACGTTATTACGGATTCCGCGTTCACCAGCCTCGCGACAACATAACATGCGAAAGTGGTCGGAGGTAACGAGGAGCGGGCCGTTGACCGTAAATGGAAGACTTTCTCTGATGGAAACGCCATCGACGAGCAGGGTCAAAGTCTGAGTCGGAGATCGGGGCTTGATCGGACGATCGATCTTTCGTGATTAACGTTATAGGGTGGTTTATTCGTTTATACACCAGGAAATGATATTCGCCAATTGACTCGGTAGCTTTTTCGAACAGCAATCGTACGACTCACATGGCTGACCAATTTCATGAATTTTGCCGTATCCAACGATGCATTTCGGTTGATCTTGCGGACCCGCGAAGGAACCGTTCTCACGTCCGTCGTTTCTCATCGTTGCCGCAAGAGAAGAGACTCTATTACGTAAGAACGAGTCGTTTTTGCAACGCTACGCAGACAGCTACACGACCTGCTCAACATTTTCCACTCTGTTTCGTTTAAATTGCACGAGCAACGCGGTGCATCCTAAAAAACCATCCAAACATCTCCTTTGTTCTTTTCTTCTGGCCGTCTCAGAACTCTAGGATGATATCTTAGCTAATG